AAAAGATACTCCTTTCGGGCGGAACCTCCTCGTATAGGCCATCATAGGGAGTTCCCCCACTCCCGTTCCAATTCCGTGCTCACCTATTGCCAGCCAATGTTGGACTCTAAGCCCGTTTGAGTCAACACGTAAACATAATCCTAAGTGTATACAAGTTGAACTTGACCATAGAGATCTGTTGCAAGACGACGAGGAGTTCGAAAGGCAAAAGCTTGTTGCAGAAATCGCTGAAGAATTGAGACCACAACACCCTCAACCAGAAGCTTTCAACCTGTGTGTATGTCAAAGGAAGAACAACCTAGTCAGTTCAACGTGGTAATGCTAAAAAAATCTTTTGTCACTTTAAAATACCATTCAAATCCAGGGAAAGAAAAGGAGACCTAGTTGACAAACTTTCGTCTTTCATACAAGATTGCACGTGCTTTTCTCCAACAGCTCAGGAGTGAACACATGGATCCTTAATTTAGTGTGATTAACAGCCGGCAAAACTTTTGGGATTTAACCGGAGAAGGACCGTAAACAATAACTATGCCTTTTTCTGCATGCCATTCCTCATTTTTACTGAAATGTTGTTAATTGGCGATAAACACAATGCTCTGTTAATACCAGCGTAACGTTTGTATAGCCTATGCAGGGGCACCCAACCGCAATTTTCGGGAAAATATCTGTTCGGAAGACGATTTGAGATCTAGAATTTTCGGAGCATTTGTTGTAAAATTTCTTGCTTGCCTACCTCTCCTAGGATTTTCGAACATCTACAAAATGGTATAATTACCCATTTTTAAGGGATTTTGACCCTAAAAAAGGCCACCTAGAATTTTCGGGAGCCTTTTCCTGGCTGAAGTTTTCGGGAAGGTAAGTTTTTATCCCTATAATTTTCGGATCACTAGACTTTCAGCTAGGAAATCCGAACAGATGAAAAGTTTTTAGGGGATAAAAATACGCCTATATCTACTGTTTCAATACTAAACTACGTTCAACAATGCTATGTTAAGTGGTTGTGAACTATATCCTCGTTGGGTGCCCCTGCCTATGGTTAGCAAGGGATCTAGGAAATGAAAGTACTTTGCAGGTGTGGTCTTATGGTGTCGCACGGTATTTCTGAAGTTGTTTGCGAGCTATTTCCAAAATATTAATTTTTGATTCTGTAATTGAAAATATTGTGCTAGTGCTCGTGAATAAGAGTGGCCGTGTCCAAGTGACTACTTTGTAGCTAATTGTCGTGTATTACACCATGGGTTGTCATATTAAACCCTATCCTCACGGTGGCTCCCGGGGATACTGACTTAGTTAAAACGGTCGTAGAATGAATAAATACAACAGCACGGTATTTCCCACCCAGTAAAGAATCGGAATTAACAGTGATTAAATTGTATGATTATCAATAACTATCACTTCAAAAAAACTATAATCAGATAAAAGAACTGATCGATACACAGCCACTCTCGGGGAATGCGTGACGGGCCACAGTAATTAAGTTATTTTAATTCGCGTAAACATATCTTCTTCTACTACTTCTTCCTCGTGAAACAGACCTAAGGGGATTCTAAGTCATATATCGTTCGTGTTTTTCCGTGGAAAGTTCTAAGAGATATTTTCCCTTAAAAATGTGAAATATAAGCAGTTATGTTTCCTGTCAATTCAATTTGTTGAAACGACGCATCTAAGGCTAATTTGCATACGGAGAATGAAGTCGCGTTCTGATCGTCGACCAGGAAAAAAACCAAGAAAAAGCGATTACCAAGTTTTCTCCTCATGTTTTCGAAAGTCCATCATTTAAAGGGTCTAATGACATTTGGTGATAACTAGAAACGTTAAAACTGTGGAAATTAGTCGATCAAATGCGGACCGTTACAATTCCAGCTTTGCTGTCAAAATGGCGAATTTGTAACATTAACGGAACTTTGTACAGCGCGCAGAGAAGAGTGCCCACAAATTTTATTGCATTAAGAAGTAGACTGGTCTTAGTACTTCTGATTTATCATAGACTTGAGTCTGGGTCAGGTGCCACTTTTGCGAAATTACCGTTCAGCTCTAGTTATGCAAATTACTTTTCCTGCTGAGCAAATTAAAGGTCATTTTCAAAAAATCATATCTCAGCCAACTTTCCACAGAATGCAACCATTAAACTTTGACACTGTTAATGAGAGTTAAAACGTTTGTGTGTAAAATAATCAGCTTATTCGGCTACGTAAGGTAGGTTTGACAGAGCCCTAAAGTTTCACCAAAATCGCACCACTTCTGAAGGCAAACGGGCAAGTTTTAGGTGACCGAGAAAATCTTCCTGTAATATAGAGAAAAAATTGAGTTGATCCAAATAAATGTGATATTTCTTCATGGGATAGGATAGTTATCTTCCACTGAAAAAATCAGGGCAATCCGTGAAACACCGAAATCTGCCTTATCGGTTCTTACGCGGACAGCCTCTTAAGTGCTCTCACTGCGGCTATCCTGGCAGCAATAAAATTTACTTTGAACGAAGCAAAATGTATTATTGTATCTTATATAAATCGCGATCCTTGCTTAAAATTAAATATCAAAATGCTTAATATATGTCAAGCACACCATTCAGTCTTCATCAATGGAAAGTAACATGAAATCTATTTTATGTTCTTTTAGCCATTCTTATCCTGACTTGATCAGTTAATGAAATTTAACAGTATTTAGTTAATAATATAACAAATGGTTAATACTACTCTTAAACAAGTTTATGGGTTAACTCATTCCCTTACATGTAACTAGCTCAACAACTATGAATATCTTTTCTATGACCAGTCTCATTGTCTTTCTTTTCTATGATAACGTGATTATACTTCCTTAAAGTTGTCATTCATTGGTTGATGTTTTTCTATTTCAGGAATGATACACGATTACCAAAATTAGTATCCTCTACTTGCTTAACGCTGCTGGACTATTGATAACTAAATAACAGTCCTCACATTCTAGTATCGAAGTGGAAATTCAATGTATGACATAAAGTCTGGAACTCCTGTAGTCTTGGTACCTGTCTAGTGGTATAATTATGTTATACTAAGTAAGCTAGATAATTACCATTTAGCCAGAAATTTCAAAAATTCCAGACGGAAGGCTACCTGCAAGGTCATTTTTGGCAAATGTTAACCGAACATTGAAAACTGTGTTTTAACGTTGTCCCCTCATTCCGGTGGTACCAATTGAATGCAATGTTGTTTAACATTTGCCAATTTCTCGGTTTCAGACCTATTCTACTTGACACCTTCTTTGGATTCAATTCGTAACATCAGTTACAGTTCTGCGGTAATCTGGTAAACCGCTTACCGTTATTCTTTGGAAATCCCAACGGGACTTTCTGTCAAATGGTAAGCACCCCAGAATCAGGTTGAATACCTCAGACCAGTGGATAACACAATACCATTTTGCAGGTGCTGGTTTTTCGCGAGATGATCAAGCTTTACTCAGGTTTTAGACGTATTTATGATACTCTAAACAATCTATATGAAGGTAAACACAATTGTAAACCAGATTCTCTAATCCTGGATTAGCACTTAACAACAAAAGGCGTAAATGAAATTTTCTTTTTTCTCCCTTAGTGTATTTTATCTGAGGACAAAACCTGGTTTGGAAGTATTCTTTTTGTCTACACTATTTCACCCTGTTGGTTATTTCTCGGCTGTCGAAGACTGGTCCATTTAAGGTTTCTGGGGAGTGGTATTGGCCTATTCCTTGCTTGAGCTGCTCGTCCAGCTGGGTTTTCTTCAAATTCAGCTTTATCCTCAACCTGTGAGTATTTTGCGGAACTGTACTTCGACATGTTCATCTTTAAGTACATCTTAAAGAAAGAAAATAAACCACTTATAGATGTAAATTTAAACAGGAAAGTTATATTTTTCGCCATAGCCCTCATGTTTCAATTGTTTTCAGATGTACCAAAATTTTTCCTCAAAAGCAGACAGTAAGACTGGTGTGTGGCATTTGATTTACGGTAGAATATTAATAAAAGTGGTTCTTCATGTCTGTGGTCTGATATTGTAACTTTTTGTATTCGAACTCTTTAATGAGTTCTACTCTCATTAGAGCGGCTGCGAGATTCATATCAGGGAGCTCCATAAAACAACCAAAACGACGACAACTACTGTACGTGTAGCCGCACCCTGCCCCCTCCCCTACCCGACCAAGGAAAAACGTTTTTCCTTTGTCGGGGAAGGGTGCGGCCACAGGAAGGCTATACGAGAAAACATTACTTACTCTAAAAGTGAGTTCAGGCCTCTTCAAACTTTATCGCCTTATTTTATCTCGTTACCTCTGTAGGCGATTTGCGTGGAATTGAATTGTTAAGGATTGTTCCCAAGAGCGGGTACAATAGTCCTCAAGATTCAGTTGTCTTGGTTGTCGTAGTTCAAGGCCCGTGCATTTGTTCATGTTTTGACAGCGAAGTGTACTAAGTATGATGCACAAGCAGAATTTTTCAGATGTTTTTTTTTCCAAAACTTGTTTTGAATTGTTTTTTTTTTTGCGTTGGAGGTTTGTAAAATTCTACTGTACACTAAGTGCTTTCCAAACTATAAACCGACTCATGAATTGGCAATACTTTCTGCATATTTGTACCGAAGATGGCTTAACTTGGTTTCAAGAGTTTGTGGATTATGCATGTCGACTTTCCACATGCTTTTGTTTGTTTTTACTCACGGTGCGCTTCCTTACGTCGGTTGGCAAATTTTACTATTATCCTAAGAAAAGGAGTGCTGTAATCGAGGCATACTCGACATAACCCCATAAAGAATAAAATTGTAAAAATACGTTCGGAGTAATTTTGAAAAACAAAATGAAGTTGAAAACTCTTAAATCGGGAAATTTAATACCCTTATTTAAATGTTGCCTATTAAGATCACGAAAGTAAAACCTGACGAATAATGTCTCGCCACAATCTCAAAATTAAGTAACAGCGAAATTATGTACCAATTAGGTAGCTACGAAGATAATGTATATTCTTGACTCCATAGAAGCTAAAAATCATAAAATTACTAAAAAGTAACCTTTTCCTCGATGTATGTGAGCAGCTTCTGACGAAGAAATTCGAAACTTGGGCGAAAGTCAGGCTCTTGTTGCCAGCATCTCTCCATCAGATGGTACCTGAAAGTTGAATAAAAAATCCAGACCCTTAAAATCTTACATTGAGTTTAAAACAAAAACATTACGAGATCAATGTCACCAAACGATCGCTTCCAGTCGATCTTGCTTCGCAGTTCTTACCGCCAAGAGCTCCGAGAGGCTACCAGTTGCCTTTGGAGCGGCTAAGAGGGGATGTTATTTAGTTGGCGGAGAGCACTTTTCGTAAAAACAAAAATGGGGTCTAGAGAGCTTGTCTTCTGGAGGTCTCAATATTGATGTTTCCAGGGATTTTTTCGACCTGTTTTACCAGGAACTTTTCATAATAACTACAGGCTCCACATCCTTGAGATTTCCTTATAATTTAATAGTTTTCAATCATTTTGACGAGTATTTAATTCAGCGGGTAGGCATCTTTTTAGCTCTTGGTCTTTTATAATGATGTCAGGCCTGTTGGTTGAATTTGATTTCTTTTTTGGTATTAACCGCCATGTCCCAGAGGATAGTACATGTTTCATTTTCATTTTCTGCTATTTGTCCGCCACTTTGATGCTGTACTCTTTGGAGATTTTCCAGAGGATGTAAGAGGCGGCCTTGTCGTGTCTATATATGTACTCGGACTTTTCTAATTCAGGGCAACCACTTGTCATGTGATCGGTGGTTTCTGTGTAGCGATGTCAAAGTCTGCATATTGGGTAGCTCTATTATTATAACAGTGAATTGAAAACCTTTTGATTGCCAAAATTGAGACAATAACCACACCAGGAATCTTACGTAAAAAGTTGAAAATTTCAAGTTTCTTTAACAATACTAAATATGATTATTCTTGCATTGCATCTTAACTGTTTGCTTTGACTTAAGTGTTCTCGGCATAAACTGGCACATCTCAATAAGCCTTAGTGCGCTGTTTTTTTGTATACTGGTTTTGGTTCAGTAAGAGAAAACCATGGGGGAATGGATGTCGATCAAACATAGTTTTCTTCAGCTGGAAGAATAGGATCTTTAACACCGAATTGTGTCGAGCAAGGTATTTGCTCTGCACCAGAGCTGAGTAGCAGGCAAGCACGTGCGACGTGGAATCTTGAGATTTGTTACACATTCTGCATGTGACATCAGTTGATGGATTCAACTCCGTTCTTCTTAGTTGATAAACTTTCGTTGGAAGGAGCTGCTCATACAATACCTGTGTCCTCGCGATGGTACTAGAAGACAGTGATCTCCAGGCTGCTAGCCACTCAAAACAGTCATCCTCAAGTCGTTGTCATTCCACCTTGTTGCCACTAGCTTTGCTAGGCAGTTCTCACTTTTAGCTTCTTCCATTCGCTTTCTTAATTCTTCCTTATAACATCTACCAGTTGACGCTCCATCCACTTCTCTGCTGTCTAATTTTTTTGCAACAGGATGTGGGAAACTTAAGTTGAGTTCCTAACCCAGTTCCTGGGCATATTTCTTGGCATCTTCAATTAACGCCCGTAGACCACTTCCCCCGGCGTTCTCTTCATACCTTTTATCCACCTGCATCATGGGGTCTGGATTACTGAACAGCTTCACAGCCGCCTTGATCTTGGTCAATTAATATTCTTCCTCCAATGACTTAAGGCCTCTTCCTCCAAGTTTCCTAGGGAGGTACATCAGCTCTGTTGATCCTCTGTTGTTTATGACATCTGCGAAGGAACTGCTGTACAGTATTAAGTTCAGGCACGGAGGCTACATACACCAGTAAGCCATACGAAATTTTAGGTAAAACTAAAGACTGAAAGAAATGATCAATTTCCACTTGGTTATATTCTTCCTTCCTTGAGCTCATTGACACATAGAGGCACTTGTTCGCTTCGAAGAGTTTTCGTTTAATGTCTTCTGTAAATCTGCCATTGCCCTGAAAAGTCATCCCGAGTACCACTAGAAATTCGGCCTGCTCTGTATTACCAATAGGACTAGGATTTGCTTGTCCTTTCTTCTTCAAAACTAATTCTTTACACGTGGATAGATTGCAAGGCATATACTTTGTACTTGACCAGCTAAGGTACTGCGAAATTACATCACTAGCACAATCAGTTCCGGCCTTATTTACAATAACTTGCATCGTAGTATCATCGGCATATTCACTAAGAGAAACATCAGGACAGTTTACAAGCTCGAGATCATTAACAAAAAGATTAAATTAGTGCCAGTAACGCTGCCCTGTGTTGTGCTTTTGTTTACATTATACCAGCAATAGCTGATACCCCTAAACACTAACCGTTGCTTACGATTTCGAAAGATACCAGTTGGTAATATACGGGTTTAAGTCAAGGGCCCTTAATTTCTCACTAAGTATACTATGCCTCACGTTGTCAAATGCCTTAGCAAAGTCTATAGCAAACAGTCGAACATATCTACATTCCCTATCACCCAACGCTTTCAAACAGTTATATTGCAGATTGATCAAAGCATCTGTGCAGTTGCATCTTTCCCGGTACGCATATTGAGTCGGGCCTAGATTTTCTTCAAACGCGTGTTTACTGAATTTATGATAGACAATTTTTCGAAACACCTGGCAATAACAGGGGTTACGTTAATACCACGAAAGTCCTGGTATTGCGAAGTTGTGTCCACCTTGGGGAGAGGACTGATGTTAGACTCTTTCCATCCCTTAGGCCATGTATAGGAACACAGAGATAAGTTCCCAATAAAAGTAACCACTGGAGCTAAAAGTAGAGCATTATCTCTCCAAACCCAGTAGGGTATACTGTCCGGTCCTGATGCTGTCTTTTTGATCTTAGACAAGGCCAGCATAACTTCGGTTTCATTGAGTCGAGGCGATAGATACTTTTCTCTATCGATCAGTCTTGGAACGAAGGCTCCGTGTAACCGTCATCTTGACAAAGTTTTGCGAAAAATTCATTCAGACCGCGTAGAAAACTCTTGTTCAAGACAGACTGTGGTTTGTTTGTTTGTTTGTTTTTTTAATCCTACAGAACTTTGAAATCTCCATTTCCCACCACTCTCCCTGGGATATGTTTGTACCACTGATCTTCCCGTCCCAGTCAAGCCTTCCCATACATTTACCAGGGTATTTTTCCGCAACGACTGCCATGTTCTCTCCCAGTCCACTTCGGTCATGTCCCTGACATATTGCTCATACATTTTTTCGTACAATCTGTTTTCCATTTCTCTCTTTTTATTCTTGTTACACTCTCTGGCATCCTTTGCTTCATTTACCGTCACTGTTACTCTCTCACCTACTTTCCTAAGCAACACCTCCTTGGAATTCCTTATCTACCGACTTAAATTGTTTTCTTCCCCACTGACACAAGCTTCGCGGCTAATGAGTCATCTTCTCCATTTATTCCTTGATAGATATAATCTTGCAGTATCACTTCTTGGGTGCACCTCCTATTTATTGTCATCAGCTTCTTGGTCATCCTGTCGATGTTTTGGAGTTTATTCTTTGTTCATCTGATCACTCCACCACCATATCGCAATATGGCTACAGCCCATGTGTTTACTGCTTTGATTTTGTTTCCGCCATTCAATTTAGAATTTATTACCAACTTCAGTGTTCGCAGGTACTCATACTCAAGAACATCATTCATATCCTTCTCCTTCACTCCATCCGTTCCATCATTCTCATGTGTTCGTACCACTCTTCACCCACTTCCTTACCTGTCTCACCATTGTCAAGTGGAATGCCCTCAGTCTTACTCAGCTTCCCATTATTCACTACCGTCACCCTGCCCTTCTTTAAAACAAATTGTATTCCTATATCTCGTCAGAGGAGTTGGACGGTGGATACCCAACTACTAAGCCCGTCGCTGTGAAAAGCAGCTGGTTTACTTTGATGTTACAACCTGCTGTGGCTTTTCTAAAATACTGTACTCAACGTTTATCCACAAGCTATTAGTTGAGTGCTCTAGCTCTTTACCGATATTTCCACAAAGTCAGTTGCATTTGGTGCTGCTTGGGCTAATTACAGACTCTCGATACTCCAAGAAAGTTGGACCATGTCATAGGCTTTGTCATAATCTATAAACGTCATAGCCAAATTTTGTGCTTATGATGGCTTCTTGTCAATAACAAGTTTTCCTTATTGTTGGTTACTTGTTCTTCCTCCTGCATCCTTTCTGTTCAGCCGGTAGCATCTTATTCTCCTCGAGAGAAGTGTAGATCGAATTAGATGATAACCAGTCATTAATTTCCACATGAGCGGTGAACAGGATATTGGTATGAAATTATCAACTGCATTTCTCCTTCGCGGATCTTTTGACAGAAAAAATTTATTGGCAGATGTTATCACTTGTTTACTCCCTAAAAAACATGTGACATCGCTTTTATCCCATTAGTCCTTATCGCCTGCAATGATGGCTTGCAGGGGCGGAGCCAGCCCATAGACCTGTAGTCCCGGGCCTACAGATTTTTGCCGGTTTGATCACTCTACCGCTTGTGGTTGTTGGGGTCAGTTAAGAAGCTTAGAGCTCAAAGTGTTGGTGAGGTCAGTGTATGTTAGTCATGCATGCTATTTCAGGATATGTGGAAATGAAAGTCAGCCGCTCAGGCCTACAACTACTCAAAAAGCTGGCTACGCCCCTGGCGTGTATAAACACGGTTGAGATGGTCCAAAGGAAAGCTGCACGCTGGGTTCTAAATCGCTTCGACCGCAAAGATAGTGTCACCCTGTTTCAACCCTGAAATGGTAGACACTATAAAGTAGGCGAACCATAGCACACCAAGGAGATGCCAAAATACAATCAGCTGGCCATTCGTACTCAACTCGCTCCAAAGAGGACGCTTACACACAGCCGACAGCCATTAGGGATTACTACAAGTACTCGTTCTAGCCAAGGACAATTACAGAAGGGAACCCAATCCCAAGGGAAACGCATTGTCCAATTCACTGGCTGCTTTTAAAAATGCAATTTAAAACATTTATTAATACTTCATTACTTTGCCCTTAAAATCGCAATTTTAGACACTTTTTTACACTTTTTAGAGCGGTATAAAATACTTATTATTTAGCGACAGACATAAATGTTAAATATATAATAAAATAAAATAAATAAATACGTAAGGTATATTAATCAATATGCGTACTAAATAAGTCTATGACTTGAAACGTACAGCGTTTTGTCGACGTGTTCGGGCTTTGGCATGTGGTACCCATTTTTAATTTCCGCAATTACCTTGGCTTCTGACCAGCCTGGATATGGAATACCTCCTGTGAATTGTCAAAGATGTACATTTCGTTATTCATTCTTGAAGATAGTGCTCGATTTTCAGCTTTTTTGAATTAGAAACGTAATACATGTTTACTTACTGATTAGTGAAAGAAAGTTTAGAAACAGAAACAAAGTTATTAAGGAAATTAATCACCAGATGGAATGTTCATTCTGGACATTTTATAGTCATGACCTAATGACAAACAATTACAGTCATACTTCCTTCATACGTACACCAGAGGGATAGAGCTAAGTACTCGCAGTACAAGAGTCTCATGGTAGAGATTGTATGGAGTTTTTCGAATGTCAGGATCCCAACAACTGTCCGTAATACAGAGTTTAAGGTGTTTCGATATAGTTTTTCAGAGACCATACCGATATTTTTCAATCGCTTTAAAAGTGATTTTACCCTTGTCTGATTGCTATAAAATTTTCACCAGTGATTGACTATAGATTGAAATTTGTTAAAATGTAGGTTTTAGTAAAATCGATATTACTATGACAACAGTAAACAAAAAACTTTGAAACTGATAAACGCCTAATTTTGCGAGACCTAGACCAGCTACTGGAAATCCAACACCAGTAACTTAAAGTTTGGTGTTTAACAAATAACCTCCGTAAGAAGTAAAACATTCAGTATGTTTGAATTCGACTAATACGAAAATATGTGTCAAACTTTAAATTTTCAATAGCCGTGATAGATTATTTGATAAAAACGTTATAAACGACTCAAATGAATGATTGAATGAATGAATGAATGAATGAAGAGTGAATGAATGAATGAATGAATGAATGAATGAATGAATGAATGAATGAATGAATGAATGAATGAATGAAAGAATGAAGAGTCGTGGATGAGAGGACAACAGACGTGCCCTCTTTACAATACATTTTTAACATATGAACAGTAAGCACGGACATCAGCATACAAAGACGCCACTGGCAACCGCTTTCAGTCCATTTATGAGCTACTGTACCCGCCCACCCCATGATGTGAATGATGTGATGTGTGAAGGTTGACCTCAACATCGGGGTCTACGTCCCCTACTCTTTTCGAACAGTGGTGAGGGTTCTTTTACGTCCCAAAAGAGCCAGATAAGTGTAGGTACTGTGAGACGGGACCTACGGTTTTTCGTCCTTATCCGAGAAGACTAGAAAGTCTAACCATTTGCAGATGTCATTACAAAAGGCAGCACTTCCTTCTCATTTATTTAAAGACCCTGAGTGTTGGTCCAGCCGGGGTTCGAACCCGTGACCTCCCGCTCAGCAGACCGGCGTTCTCCCAATTGAGCCAACCAGGCGGCGGTCCAAATGATTCATAAGTAGCGTCAGAATGCTGCTTAATATCATATTTTGATGCGAGGAAATTTTGGTGTATTTTCGTTCTTGTGGTCTTAAAAACTAAGCCGTTTTCTCACCTCCTATCTAAGTGCAACTAATGTTTTGACGTTATGCTAATTTTTCCAAATTAATGCGTACAATACATATATCCATGACTAGTACATTTCAGTGTGAGTATTGGCAATGTTTTACATTCAAAAGATGCGATAAATTAAAACTAAAATGTACTAGTCATGGAGGTATGTATAGTGCGCATTATTTTGGAAAAGTTAGCATAACGTCTAAACAGTGAATGTTGTAACGCTGATTTTTGACAGGTTCGTAAAAGAGGTTTGAATTTTTCATTTCTTACGGAGATTGTTTGCTTAACACCAAACTGTACGTTCCTAGTGTTGGATTTTCAGAAGCTGGTCTAGATCATCCAAAATTCGGCTTTTATCAATTTCAAATTTTTTTTGTTTATTGTTGTCATAGTAATTTCGATTTTACTTAAAACTACCTTTTTACAAATTTCAATCCATAGCCAATTACTAGTGAAAATTTTATACCGATCGGACAAGGAAAAAACACTTTTTAGGCGATTGAAAAATATCGGTATGGGCCCGGTTGCATAAAACCTGCACTTAAGTGCTCACTTAAGTAGGTCACTTACGAATCCCTTATGGGGACTCTTACGGGTGTTGCATGGAACGCACTTAGCACTGTCGTAAGTTTCTGTTTTACGTGGTAGCTTACGGGCTCACTCAAGGGCACAGGTAACTTTGATATAGTACTTTATTAGTGACCCAATCTATTTTTTTTTAAGCTAACCATCGATGGGTGTAAAGAAATTAGCTGGTCGTTTCGAACACTCTTGAGCCTCTGTTAGATGATTAGGGAAATTCAGCCGGTTGAGATAACGTTTTATATAGACAGAAAAAAGTGTGTCATTATTTAACCAAAAAAAAGTTATTTGACCGAGAAGTTTCGACATGATAAAAAATAGTTTATTAATGTAATATCTGCACAGGTTCTAAACTACTTGTTAATGTTCAGTTTTCGTCTAAACAACTGCAACTTAAGATCAAGCCGCTTTTCCTTCTTTTTCAGAATTCTCATTTTGACATCATGCTCTTCTTTTAAATGCTCTTCATATATCTTCTTAATGTTCCCTTCTCTATGTACTTGTTCCCTAACAGAGTCGGAATCAGGTACAGTTTGGTTATTTTGTTTGTTCTTCCCTTAAACGGCTTTCTTCTTACTCCTTCTCCGAAGTTCTCTAGCCACTTTCTCATTCAACCACCCTATCTGGGCCTACTGGAAGGTACGATGAAGTTGACGATAGGTTGTGTTTCTCAATGGCGCCACTTGAAGCATCAAGGGTGTGTTCTCTGGCTTCGATATTATCCCCAGAGTCTATTCCACCAACTATAGATACGTGGTAGGGATTTTCTTTTCCGAGTATCTCGGTGATTAGCTCGTCACCATCAGTCCACTCTATTGCACCTGTACCCCAGTCTTCTTTCGTTTGGCGTATTTGGCTTTAGTGGCTGACGACAAGTCCTCCCATTTCTTTTTAAGTTGTTCCTTGGTTCTTGGTGGGAACCCGGCGGCTATACTAGCTGTGTGAACCTCCAACCATGTTTGCATTTTCAATATAAATGTCAGTAATGTAATGTACCGAATAGAGTCATCTTTCTCCTTTTTACCTCATGGAGAAAAAAATTGTGATTTTATCCGTCTTAAAATTCTGCGCTCTTTTTCTGGGGTTAGAGCCTTGTTCATCCTCAGAATTCCGTTTCATTGACATCCTAGAAATGTAGAAATGTTTTTCTAAACGATGATGAAGAAGAAGCTACGGGCGACAGCAGCAATGCTGATGAAGGGTACCAAGACGACATTAATGAAACTGAAGAGGGTCGAAAAATTCGTTAGGAATTTGCTCGTTCGTTTTTGTTTTTGTTTTGTTTTGTTTTTTTTTTCACAGTCCTTATAATCTATTGAAGCTGATGACAGTTTTTAAATAATTTCAAATCATTTAGCAAAGAAGATTGACATTTTAATATCCTATGAGTGCAACGCATCAAGTCCGTTGACTTTCGTTGAAATACGTTTGCATGCCATCGTTATTTTACCAGAATATTTACTGATAATGTTTGTTGTATGTTCTACTTTTTTTCTGAAGGACGGCTTTAAATTTACGTGCTATTTTTCCCGTAAAAAAAGTTTTATGCAACACCCGCGATTTCTGTTGCATAAATGACACTTAAGTGGATACTTACGAAAATCGTAAGTGCAGTCACTTAAGTGAAATCCCTAAGTGGACCACGTAAGTAATTTAACGCAACTCACTTAAGTTACGAGTACACGTACGTATACCCGTAACTGTTACGGGCGTTTTATGCAACCGGGCCATGGTCTCTGAAAAACTGTAACGAAACACCTTAAGGACATGTCGCCTTTATTGCGGAGGTCAGTACGGAAAGGTTAGACTGTATTAGTTCGCTTTAGACTAATGATTTTCATGTATTGCATCTAAATATTTTTGGGATCCACAATTACTTAAATAATATCTGTCCCCTCAGAATTCTCTCTCTGTCTCAGAGACCACAAAAGGGACTTTTAGCTGCGGTGCGAGTGAAACTATCACATTTTACGCTTTAACTTTTATTAGTTCCTGCTCAGAAGGTAACTTCAGGAATACGATTACGGTGGCGAGTGATTAACTCGCCATACTCTCATACTCTCTAGAGCGATCTTTACAATTTAATTTTCTACAAATTTTTGTGCAAAAAGTTAGAAAGGTGAGAATCTTTGTTTTTAAACGAAAAAGTTTTCATATATCACCTACCAATGGTGAATATCTCGTACAGAACGACTCCATATGACCACCTGCCACCAAACGAAAACATAATTAGAAAGAATGCTTGTTGCTTGATATTTTGTGTTGTTCCGTAAACTACCATTTTCTGAGTTGTTCAGCTATGAAACACTAATTAATGACTTATGCTTTTCTGATGCTTGAAAGAAATCCTTTTTGGAGAAATAATCCTTTCAATGTACGCTGTTACCTTTCAACGAAAAAATACATATCAGATTTTTGGCAGCAGTAATAGATCTTGAGAATGACCATATTAATACGCAGTTTTAACTCGCCGTCGGTTTGCACAGCGGTCAAAAAAAGCCGTCCTTAAGCAACTACCCAAACCGACAAGACTTGGGTGAGAAAACTGATTTTCTTACTTGGATAGGTGGACGCAAAGGGAATTTCGAAGGTAAATTATAAAGGACGCAGTAAGTAAGAAAAGAGAGAGTTTATCATATTCAGCACCTGCCCTGTCTTCCGTCATTACTAACAGTGCTATAATTTTATTCTGTTAGGCATTTTGCTGTAATTGTTTTCAGATTAACTCATTTGTGTTGAAACATACACGTCACTTTTGGTGGAAAGGTCTGCAGGATTTCCGTAAAGAATCTCGGGTGCCGTCCACTTAACAGGGATGCAACCCTATGACAACAATGAGACAAGAAATTAACATTCACATATGCTGCTGTTTTACATAGGTCTACTAGCATTATCTAGCTGGGCTGAAATTGTACTTTCTGTTCTAATTTTAGATACAAACGACAATCGTTAATTGAAGTTAGGTTATTCAGAAGTTGGATTTTGCAAGTTGTTTTATCTATTGAAAATTATCAAAATTAATTTATGTGAACTCACCATGGATCAACAATAATAAGGGAAACAGTGTAAATATAGTGTTAAAGGATGATCAAAAAGAATTTCCTTTTCTCTAAGATTAAAGATCGTCAATAACGGATCTGTCAACCACGAATTCTAACTTAATAGTTAAAGTGGCGGTTTACTTTCCATTGAGACTACTAACTGTTGGACTGGAAAGAGACTCTTAATCTTTCCTTCAACATTACTGGCGCATGTTTTTCTCGAGGGACTTAAAAATAAGGGGCTCCTCTTAGTCTACTAAAATACAAAGCTACAAAACTGTCCCTTTAACTGAATTCGGATTATACTACAGCGAACGCTTCTGTTTCCGTCAACTTTGTCAATAAATCCATCAGAATAATTAATTTAGCGTTTAACAAAGCGCTAGAGTTTGATAAGTTAAAGTGGCGTACCTTTTTTGCATTGCCGTGGCCATACTTGAAGCTTTGATATGATAACCCAAAGTCAGTAACCTTGCAAACAAAGTTTTGATCAAGAAGGACGTTCCTTGCCGCCAAATCACGGTGAATTATCTAGAAATAAAGACATGTTAAATGGTCCTAACTAACAGAAACAAATTTGATCACTTCTTTTCAATCATTCTTAGTCTCTAAAGATGGGAGTATGGAGGGCGTTTGTTTGGGAATGTATCTGATAGTCTGAAAACCGACAGTCTCAGCACTAAAATCTTAACCTTGTACAGTCCCTTCACGAAGGGACCAATACTTTTCTATTATATTTTAATCTTTAGTAAGCGACCACCCAAAAAGCGAGGACTTAGTGGTCGCTATGGGAAATGGTCGTTTACAAGAATCGAACTACACGGGGTCTCTTCCAAGATGAGTTCCGGACACGTCTTAAAATAATTCATTGGAAGCAATTTCTATTTCGCAAAATATGTATTTCTATTTTGTTTCTAATAGCTCTTCTTATACCCTACGCATCAAGGAACGTACAGCTAACATACACATCAGACCATGCGTCAAGTGGTCACTTACAAAAAGTGGTAGTTTATGAGAGGTTCGAACTGAAAGGCGTTGACGGTGCTTTAATTTAAATAGGCGGTCGCGTACGACATACATTGCACTCATCTGTCTTATCACTGTCCAAGATATATTGCCTTTATCGACTTGACCAAGGCCTTTAATCTAGTCATCAGGAAGGGTCTCTTCACTCTCCTGCAGACGATGGGATGCCCCCCCCCAAAGCTCCTAAGGATGATCACGTCTTTCGTCGGCTCAACCTCAGACCCCCTTCCCAATCAAGAGCTGAGTGAAACAGGGCTGTGTACCCGCTTTCACACGCTTCGTCATGTTTTTCTTCCTACTGCTGTCTTACGCCTTCAGCCAGAAAAAATAAATGGTGTGTACCTTCACACCAGAAGCGATGGAAACCTTTCACGTCTCCGAGCAAACACTAAGGTTCGGAAGTACTGATAAGAGAGATGCTGTCTTAACCGCACACAGCTACTTCATCAGCTTCTTTGCACACGCTTGTAGTTAGTTTGGTATCACCATCCGTCTCAAGAAGATCAAAATCCCTGGCCAAGAAGTCAGCAGCACCCCAAGCATCTCCATCGGCGACTACAGTCTCAAGACGGTGGAGGACTTCAGTTACCTAGGTTCCATCATCTCCAGCAACCTCTCCCTAGACACTGAACTGAACAAAGAGGATCTGGGACAACACCATGTTGACCATTAGCAACAAGATGAAAGTATACCAGGCCTGCGTGCTGAGCACGCTACTCTATAGTAGCAAGACCTGGATCCTCTACTCCTGCCAAGAAAGCAGACTCAACACTTTCCACCTGCGCTGCCTCAGAAGGATTTTAGGCATCACCTTGCAAGACTGTGTCCCAAACAAGGATTTAGCACAAGGCTGGATTACCTAGCATGTTCACCTTGCTCAATCAGAGAAGAGTAGGCTGGCTTGGCCATGTAAGCCGCATGAAGGACGGACGAATTCGTAAGGACATACTGTACAGCAAGCTTACCACTGGAACTAGACCGGTAGGAAGGCCTAGCCTTCGCTTCAAAGTTGTTTTGTAAACGAGATCCGAAGGCAAGCAATATTAACCCTACACATTGGGAAGCTATAACTGCAGAACGAAATCACTGGAGGCTTGCTGAAAAGGCAGGCGTGTGAGGAGAGGAGAAAAGAGCAGTAGGATGGGAGGACAGAGCATCCACAGAGCCAAGTACGGAGATCATCTGCAACAACTGCAACAGAGCCTTCCGATTCAGAATCGGACTGCTCAGCCACAGCGGATGCTGCAACTCAACCGCTGACTAAACCTTGGCGCTGATTCCATTTTTTCAAGAGACAGTTCGATGCCAACAACTGTCTAAGAGCTATAAAGTTAATTTTGCAAATCAGCACAAGCTACAGATTAGTTTGTTATCTACTAGCAAATATCTGGCTAAACTGTAGGTTGCGCACGGAAATCATGATTTTGCACGGTAAAAAACATGGCTCTCAGAAAGTGTTGTATATAATGACACTTAAATCGGAGAGATATCGATCGCTTTACGATCCCACATTATGGAAGCGGTGCTTTTCGAACCAACGATACTATAGCGATGGAAGAAGCAAATCGCTGGGCCAATCGCTCGCTTACCGCACCCAGAAAAGTATATAGCTGTCTAATTCAAATTTTTTGAAGAGGTAATATTACAGCATTATATTATAGAGTTACTGCTTTCTTGCAAGTGGTCTTATGTCATGACCTGATTTTAATATGTAATGCATTCCTTCTCGCCCAGGTACAGTGGAGGACTAAAACCGCTCAACAAAAGCCGCTCCTAACGTTTTATTAAATGGAATTTGTCTTGAGTTGGTATCGACAACTAAATCTGCAGCGGAGAAATGAAGCAAAGAGCAAGTAACAGCAAATTCTACATTTTATAATTGTTCACATACCCCTCTGCTTCCAAGATACACCATTCCAGTAGCAATGTGCTTCGCAAATAAGACCAGGTCATATGGCTGCAGCTCAAAAGCCTCACCCTCTCCATGATGATATTGGTCGTGAATTCCGCGACTCTTTCTCAAATAACCCAGCAAGTCTCCATATGCCATGTACTCCATGATCATTATTGGGTGAACTGTAAAGAGACAATCCAAATCAGTGAATATTCCATTGTCGCTATAGTATGTTAAATGAAAAGGAAGAAGAAAAACAAGACTAAATATCGTGTGGAAAAGAATGATGAATGAGGATTTTTACTTTGTGTCGTAACGCAGCCGATGAATTTGACAACGTTAATATGTGGACTTTCTGCTAGACTTTTTCCCAGCTCAATCTCCTTCATAAGAGCTTTTCTTCCTTCTTCTCCGGCAGTCGCTACAACAGAAGTGATGAGAGCAAATTCAGTCAGCTTTGGTTCTTAAACACGCCACATGACACTAAGGGCCAGCCACAATAGCGATTATCTAAGGCATAGTCGTGCTCACATTCAAAGATAAAGGTGTCTAGTGTAATATGTTGAACTGGCTCACGTGTGAAGTGTTTTGCTGCCACAGTCTGTGCTCCATGTCTTTTGTCTGATTGTTTCAAAGTTGCTTTCCAGACTGCTCCAAATGCCCCAGAACCAATCATATTTTCTAGCTTTATACGGTCACGTGCAACCTCCCATTCATCCACCTCGTGAACCAACTCCTCCAGTTCAAGTCCCGGATGTTCATCAGCGAGACTGCAAAGGTGAATAGGTGGCAAAAAGCTATTACTAAGAGAACTTGGATTGTGTATAATTATGCAAGACGACTTCAACACGGAAGCGTTACAAGCAAAAAAGAAAAGAAATATATAACTAAACATCACAGGGGAAAAACAAAGAAAAAAACAAGAAAGCAGACAAACTAAAACAATACGACAGGAAGAACGTGAACCGGGATCAATTTTTTTTATCATTTTAACAGTAGGTCTTTAGTCCACAATTACCAAACGGGTCATGCCAGTTTTACATCTTTAAGCATAATTTGTATAGGTAATAGCATGATTTGTTGTGATATTTGGCATAAATACCACGAGTGATATTTCAAAGTTGTTATACGTAATTTCACGAGCCGTTAGGCGAGTGAAATTTGAGACAATTTTGAAATATCACGAGTGGTATTTACGCCAAATATCACGCACAAATCATGCTATTATTTGTTTATACTACTACCCGCAAATGGTTTGTAATTTTCACATGTAGGTATTTCAAATTAAGCTTAAATACCACAGCTCTAAGCCAATAAAATTGCAGAAATTTCTCATGTAGTAGTATAATGACAGGAACAATGAGACTTTGTACCTTTTATTGTCTATTTTACGTACATTGGTGTTTTATTGTTTAGTATTGTTTTAATTTAGTGACAGGTCTCGTCTGAAAACCACCCATGGGTGATGGCGACTCCCTGTATAGAGATTTTAATTACTTGTAATTACTCTACTATCAATTTAGATATATAATTTTTCGCTGCTTTTCTTCAGTTTTGAAAGCGTTAGTTTAATCGTATCCATCAATGTATCACCCTGCCAGCAAAACCCTTCTTTCGCTTGCTCGATTTTGGTGTACTCGAGAGAGACTGTGCTTGAATCGAGTAAGATCTTTGTTGAGCATGCGCGCATGTTGCTAATATATTTGAACCCAGGCCTAATAGCCGTGCGTTTGCTACAGCAAACTCGGTTTAACATTAAACAGATGCTCGTACTTGGAAAATTGTTTGAAAAAAGAAAAAGAGATGACTACCGCAGAAGTTTGGGCTGCGGCGGCCCCAAAAGCTTGAAGCGATTTGGGCAGAGCCTCTTTTACTCCTCGGTAAAGAAGACAAAACGAACCTCCTGCTTACAGCGGATCAACGTATTTACTTGGCGCCTCAAAAAGATGTAATGCAGGATTTAAATATTTTATGACACTTACTTGGCCTTGGCTGTTCCCCATGAAGAAGAAACGAAGACAAAAAAATAACTAGTTAATATAGCGGTTTTTTAAATATGTTTAAAAGGGCAAAGCAATACTAATAACAATGCTATGGCGACGGAAGGTCACCTGGTACCAGGAAATGAAAGGGTTGGAAGACCAAGAAAACCGTGCAAACTGACAAAAATAATAACAATTAGATATTTGCAACAATGACAGTCTATAAGTAAGTTGAAAACTAGTAGCAAAAACTATTAAACCAAGAGTAGTCCTTTATTTCGATTAGGAATATTTGAGTGAGCGAGCGAATTACGAGAGCGCGCATAAAAATTTCTCCTGAATTAAGGTGGCTGAACACAGTTTTACGGACGGTCAGCGGTAATTCGCGTGACCGCGCGTGTTTTTATTTAGACAAACAAACATGGCGGCGAAAAAGCAATGGTACACAGACGACGATTTCTCAAAATCTACTCATTAAAATTTTGTGATATTTGGCAGAATTTTTACTTTTATCGTATTTTAGATAATGAAAACTTTAAAATGGAAGTTGAACAGACGAATTTCGTGACACATTTAATAATTACAATACAATTATATTATTGATTATCTAAAAGTCCTTCTGTTAAAATTTGATCAAATAAGTCTCAAATGGTAATGATTAGTTACAGTAAGATGTGTGCAAGTTTATAAGAAAATCTAATGAGCGAATTTTATGTAAACTGAACAAAGTGAAATTTTAAGGTTGTATTCAATCGTTCATGTTGCCATGGAAACTACGAAAACGTCAAATTTTACCTGTCAATCAAAATCTTTCATTAGTATATTTTTCACCTGCAGGTTTCAGTTTGTGAGCTGCAACCTTTCTCTTGCCATGATTTGGCAAATAACATACACTCACAAACTGCCAAAACTGTGTTCAGCCACCTTAAGTGCAACATAATAGTTCAATAATTTAACATAGAAAACAACAATTTTTATAGTAATAATGCAAATTTTTTAAAAAACATAACGGTTAAACTTTGCTTAACATGGTAACGTCATGTTGACGTACTCGTTTCCGCGACTCTAACATGATCGCAGATAATTTTTAGGAAATTCCTTGAGATTGGCGGTCATACTTTGAACGGTTGAGAAGTTATTCAACTTTAACTTAAGGGGAGGCCACAAACGCTCTCCCCCTGCTCTGAGTAGGGTTGAGAAGACGATGAGCAAAATGTGGCGTCTTTATAAGTGGAAATAAAGGCCCTCACGGGAACTTTGCCTGTTGCTATGGTGACTATTTAGAGGACATAGTTTATAGTCGCACCTTCCAGTCGTCTCTTGCACATGTACCAGATGAACAGTGCAAAAAATATGACGGCAGAAATGGGGCCAACAATATAATACCACTGCAGTGACGAATGGCTCGAAATAGCTGTGGAAAAAGTAAGGGATTGGCATGTAAGAGTGGCAAAATGTTAACTCTGGTATTTGATAAAACAGGTTTTTGCAACGTGTTATGAATGCGAGTGCAAGACTTATTTATCGTGCCCACAAGTTCTGTCATATAACACCTCTACTCGCAGAATTACATTTGTGCTCTCCAGGATACATTGTAAGATACTCTTGATAACTTTTAAAATTTTGCATGGCCTATCACCTAAGTACCTTTCAGATTTAATTAGTATTCAACAGCCTACGTCCTACCGTGATTTGAGGCGCAACGACAATGGTCGTTTGTTGGAAAGACCAAGTGTGAAAACAAAGAAAACATTGGGAGACAGAGCTTTCAAGGTAGCTGCTCCTTTCCTGTGGAATAAGCTGCCAAGGTCCGCGCGCGAAGCAAAGAACTTAGAATCTTTCAAGACTTTAATTAAGACATTTTTATTTAAGGAATCATTTTAGTTATCTTAGTTTATCTATATCTCTATTTGTAATTATCTTTTACTCATTTTATGTAAATATTTTTTATGATTTTTATAGAATGATTTGTAAAATTTTTAGTTATTAATTACTGTTGAGATGCGCTTTTGAATATTTTATAGAAAAGGCTCAATACAAATAATAAATGTTATTGTTATTGTTATTGTTTTAATCTTTAACATCTGACAACTGTGTAAGTCTTCTTCACTTTACGCTTTACAGACAACCCTTTATTAAGCAGCCATCTATTAGCATCTCACACTATCAAACTGTAGACTTCCCAATCGGGTAATGTTCTTATTTCCCTTTTTTTCGCTGTTTAACTGTCACCTAACTGGGTAAAAGTGCGATTCTTCAAAAATCTCATGAAACATGTTACGTAAAGTAGCTTAAAGTCAAAGAAAGCCCACCATATCGATTGGATATACGATCGTGAATGCGACCTGGTTTGCAACCGTAGCAGCCGTTCACATAACAAGGCTGTTCATCTAGCCATCTTACATTGCAGTCAAGTCCAAGAAATATTGTTTCTAACCCTCAGACTGACTCACAACGAACTCAAGACCAACAAAACTCGTTTTCCGTTAATTCGGACTCCCCTGTTCAGAAAGGCCCTGACCATGACTAATAAATCACTGAGCCAAGGTATCTGAACGAACGTCAACTATTTGTACTCTTCTGCTCTTCAGTGTTTTTGCCCAAAATAATGTCATGTATATCGTCAGATACATGCTTATCTATATTGAAGTTAAATTTTTGGAATATTTAATAACAAAATTTTGTATGTAGCTCACACTACTTTTTTAATCTCCTATCATTATTATTCCTGAGGATGATTGCTTAATACAGGATTAAGTGTTTAGTGCCCTTGTTGCGCCCATATTTTCTTTAACTATTTTTTTTTAAGAAAATAAAATTACTCTACCCGTAACTCTGATCTTGACAGTTGAGGAACTGTAGCCAGCTGGATTGCGTGCTTCGCAAGAATAGTCGCCACTGTCGTCACTCCCAACGTTGCTAATGACAAGAGTACTTGAGTCACCAATGCTACTGACGCGAACTTTTTCGTTTTTAGGTACTGGGAGGCCGTTTTTCTTCCAGTTGACTTCCACTTTTAAACCACTGACTTTACAAGTTAACTTAATGTCTTCACCGGCTAGAATTGTGGGATATGAACTTTCGACTATTACAGCTGTAGGTTTTCCTAATATCAGAAGAGAATCGTAAAGCAGTAAAGGAAATACCCTTTAAATTTAAAAAAAAATTATTGACACCGACTAAGGAATTGTACGGAAAACGTGCATATTGTTTAGGTTACTTGACTTGCACTCCCTGAGTAAAATAATTTTCACGTTTTTCAAGACAATGATACATAAAACAGCTTAATTAAAGCAACTTCATTCATAAAAAGAAGAGCTTGGAATTGTTTCAACAAAAGGCTACAGCACATGTCCATCAAAATTTACCAAAAATATTCAGTCGAATTATATATTTCAAAGATTAAAGAATTATCTACGAACTGTGGAAAGGATCACAGCTCTAACATTTTGGGTAAAGAAATGATTATAATGCGATAGAAAAAAATGCCATCAATATGTTTGACTAGTAGTGGTGCACGGGGGTTTTGGTCCGGTTTGAGGACGTGGAAGGACGAGTAAAATTGTGGCTCATGAATAGAATTCACGGGAAACTTGTTTAACTTATGCTAAACATGTTCAGGCAAGTACTAGTAATGACGTCACGACACCATAAGGAGGCGTGAAAAGACTTTAATCAATAGCTTAGTACAATTGAATTCAGGACGAGACACTACATATGTTGCAGGAATACAGCTTTTAATGAGAACAAAAAAACAGTATAACATTTAAGAGCAAGTCAGTCTTCGTCGTTAGGAATGGATTGTGTCACAAACAGTCGATTGAGCAAGAATTTGCGCTTATCGATGGCAAGTCCTTTCTTTGAATCAAGCAGTCTAATGAAGTGAATATGATTGGCACAATCGTGCTTTGAATGCGTGTTTGCTACAAGCCTCGAATCTTTGTGCAGTTTACTCTTTTTAAATCATATTTGGATGATTCGTCAATGGTGCTCATGACAAACACAAGAAACGGACTCGGCATAAGAAATTTCGAATCAAACCTTTTTAAGTGCTCAATGGGCGAAGAAGATGATTGATTTTTTTAGTGGAGTTGTAATGTAATGAAGGTTGAAATAAATAGTTTTTTTTCCAATTTATGTAGAATTGGTTATGTTGTCCACTCGTCACTATGCATAATTTGGCGCCAAGAATCAGTTATCCGGAAATTTAACAACTGGTAGACAATGAAAGCGGCAGGAAATAAATGTTCTTTAATATCGGAATGATTGGTCAAAGCCATTGTAAAAGAAAATGATGTACGTTGTGGATGAAATCCTAAGGAACTCGTACCTTCTTTTACGAAAATTTCCCTTAAAAATGACCAGTTTGACTTATGGGGGCCTTTATGTTCAAAGAACAAAGGGCTTACTAGACTGTCAAATGGACATCGACACGCCTCCTTATGGTGTCGTGACGTCAAAACTACTACTTGCCTGAACATGTTTAGCATACATTAAACAAGTTTCTCACGCATTTTATTCATGAGCCACAATTTTACTCGTCCTTCCTCATCCTCAAACCGGACAAAAACCCCCATGCACCACTACTTCGACTACTTGTTGTACCTGGATATCCTTTTCAGCGTTGTGAAATATGTCTATGCCTTAGTAGCATAGCTTCCAAAAAAAAAGTCCCCAGCAACATAATTTAACACAGTGTAGCTCAACACAGATATAGAGTGTTTTCACATGACGTTACGGCGGCCATATTGGTGTCCCAAAACAATGAAACGGCGGCCATGTTGGTGTCCTAAACCTGTCCCCTGGGAGTTGAACTCTTTTCTTATGCAAACGCTTTCTTTTGTCACAATAAATTTGCATATATGCTGGCCACGTGAGTGAAAGCACTATAGTTCGGTAAGAATCTACGTGGTTCATAAAAGTCATATCCTAATTATGAAAGTGACTCAGTACTGTGTTGATTAAGGGGATAAGTGTATTTTCCATAAAAATGAAAAAATATATATATCAATATATGGATCAATGTAATCAGTGTAAAACCAAGGCATACCCAATACACGAAGAGTTGCAGTCGCAGTTGTCGAATTGGCTTTGTTTTTGGCTGTACACTTGTATGTTCCTGCCATGAGTTTTGAAACATTTTTCAACTTAAGGAGTGATCTGCTTTCGTTGTATTCCACAACTGCACCTTGAGGAAGATCTCTATCCTCACTAAAGGTCCACCTTAATGTCGGCTTTGGAAAACCGGTAGCTTTACAGCTAATGTTCGCTGGTTTTCCTTCAGGAATAGTCTGATTTGAAGGAGACACAACAGCTTGAGGAGATTCTATTTTAAATGAATAAAAACCTTTAACAATCAGGACAAAGATACTTAAAAAATAGCTATGAATTACAACTTATATAGGATTTTATACGCACATAAGAACTAAAATTAATAATCCGTAAGAATGTTATCAAATTGTTTGAAAATTTTGACAGCAATGTGTCAAATTGATGGATATGTACACCAGCCTTTTGGTGACGTCTTTTGAAGAGGCTTAATACCCAAAAGATATGTTTGTTGTATTTCTGTGCACTCTACAAACAGACGTTTATCATTTAGAATATATATAGTATCCAACATGACGGAAAAGTATCTTATACGCCGTATCCCTCCAAAAAACTAGGGAGTTTAAGCAAATCGCTAAGGCGACCTCTACTACGGCGGTCGTGGATGCGGTGTCCTGGCGAGAGTACGTCTCGTAGCTCGCCAAATTTCAAGCTCGGTTCTTGCTCACTTGCTTTCGCTATAATTTATCAACAACAGAATTCAATGTTGGTCAAGTAAGAAAACGGCCAGTTTAAAAATTTCGTTTGCCAAGAAGAATATTGAAAGTAAACATCATCAGACGGCGATTGGTACAAGAAACAGAAAACTACAGATGAAGATCGGAGTAAGCTGCTAGTGATGTTTCTTCTTGTGTACCGCACTTAACAACAAATCAACAAATTCAGCGTTTTAGATATTGTATTCTATTCTTGTTTAAACAACCTTCAGTGACATTTAGCTTTATTGCTAACAGTCGTGCTTACGGTTTTCGTCTAGCCTTTGTTTGTACTGGCGGATTTTCTGCGGCCATGGCGCGGCAGAACTCATAGCACACTCGCTTGAGGATCGAAATCTCAAACTGAGAAAACGCAAGGAAAATGTATTCACTGGAAAACCAGAAGCCTCGAATACTTTCTTGATAAAGTGAAAAACAATCTATGATAGCTTTTAAAACTAGTGATCGTAAAAAAATAGGAGAAGATTCGACTTTTATACTCACGTAGTAGCGACTACGCCAGAAGACAGCTCTTCAGGTCGTAGGATTTGGCGCTACGGCGAAAGGTCATTTCCAAGCATGCGCACTGCGTCATTTCGGGGCTTTTTTACTTCCGGCCGCCGTAGTAGAGGTCGCCGTAGCGATTTGCTTAAACTCCCTACTATAGCTATACAAGGATGACGGACAATTTAATAGCAATAAATAAATTCTTAATTTATCCTGTTTTTGTCTATTGTCCTTTATTTACTCTTTATCATTATCATTGTTATTATCATTATTATTATTACTATTATCATTTTGACTGTCCTTATCCTTATTAAGGTTCTATTTCCTCGTGTGTTTTCCGTTTCCAGCATGAAGAAATATACTGTCAAGACAATTTTATAATTAGCAAAGTTTATTTAGCGTCCAAATGGTTTTGACTACAAAGTTACACTGCGCTATCAATAATAATTTCAGCACGAACTAAAGCTAATTATAATGTGAACAAAGAATGTTCGTTTTAGGAATAACAATCGTCGACACGCTAATTGAATATGTGTTGTCGTATTGCAACATCCCCCTCTTTTAAAGATGGTGACATGTTGACTAGAAAACTTAGCACACAATCCCTATACCCTGTATTCTAAAGCTGGAACTCTTCTATGCGCAACAGTTGAAACGCTTTTAAACTGTCCATGATCCGAGAACTTGTCACACACACACACACCCACCACACACACACACACATCACACACACACACACACACACACACACACACACACACACACACACACACACACACACACACACAAACTATTGACATTCTCGTCATGAAAGGCTATTACAAATACAATTACTTATACAACACACTACAAGTCCATTTCTCTAAATTGTCATAGTGTCTCTAAATTTGTTTAATCACAACGCAATGCCGACCGGAGACTATTCTGATACACACTGTTTTGGCAATAGCTGTTGTGATGGCTGATCGGTGACATAATCTGCTGTTGAGCTGAGGATGTTTGACTAGTCCAGGTCTTGGTGGTTACGGGAATAACTGGAGCGTGCTTTACCGTGCGACTACTATAACAGGAGCCACCAAGACAAAGTTAACTATTTGGATTACAGGAAAATAACAATACATTCCGAAAAAGTTAGTTGTTGATCATAATCGAATTAAACAACATGGTCCCTGCGAGGTCTGTTAGAGTGAACAACACAGGCAAAAAAAACGTAAACGTAAGTTAAATTTTGGACTTTATTGGCAAATGGTAGCGAAGAAATTGCTGGTAGATGACAAAATAACAGCTCGTGTCAAATTAATATGTCTCCTGGGTAATATAAATTATATAAACGGCCCACGTTCGATATATTAAAATTCTAACATGACATCCGAGGCTTTAGGGTCAAAAGGGCACTTTTGTCAAGACTCTATCGTCTCGCAATTCCCAAAAGAGATCTGAGCACAAAGAAAACCAAACCAAAAATAGAAACATGACCAGAAAGCCTCGGAGTCATGTTAAAATTATAATATATCGAACGTGGGCTATTGCAACATAGCGCGTGCTTGCCCTATATAAGTCGTAGAAGTCGCTTTGCACGCCGGTGCTTAAATAAGATGGCGTTTACAGCGGTGCCTATGAAACTCTTTTTCTTAACAAAGAAATTTCTAGTATTTTTGAAACTGACCTTGTAGCCGCCACTCAAACCAACAGCGAAAGTGGTGGAAAAGTCGGTGTAATAATTATAGTTTATTCGTTTTTGTTTTACGGACTATGTTCAGGGTTAGGTTCATTGTTAAGGATGTTTTGTTCTCTTTGTTTTTCGTGGGTAATAAATTGTAGTACACCGGAGATAGCCGAAAACTCTCACGATAAGACTGGCATTCGGCTGAAAAAGAACGCAAATTGGTCTGTGTTAAGGAATATACAATTACAAAGTGTCCACCATTTCAAAGGTTTTTTTATCCTTTTGAAAACGAGTTAATTAATGGAAAAATTTATACTTCACTCCCTCTTACCAACATTTGAGTATTTTAACTTAAGGTGTACTTTAAGACTCATGTAATGGTAAAACAATACCATTGTACTTAGAGTAGAGAAAAAGTAGTCACATTCCCAGGCAGTCTTTGAAACAGTTTTTAGCTTTTATCGAGTCCACAAGAGCGTATTTCATTGGTATCATTTAATCATTTACCTTTGTTTCTGTTCAGTTTCCATTGATCGTTAACGAATAAATAAGCAAAATTTCACTCGCATCTTTTATAAATTGAATGATCACTCAAGTTAGACGATCGATTGTGGCGTGTTTGTAACCGGCCAATATAAGCGTTTGTTTTTTTTTCTGTGCAGCGCGTTGCGTGAGAATTTGCATTCAATCAAAAAAGCAACCATGTTTGTCAGCTATGTTATAAAAGAATTGGTCCATGCCTTTAGCTGTGAGTATATCGAGTTATGGATGCACTCGGTAAGTTAGAAGAGCACTCAAGAAGCTAGAGTTGCTCTCGGCTGCGTCTTGAGCAACTCTTACGCTTCTCTTTTGCTGTCCAAACTTCAGGCGTGCATTCATAACTTGATTTATTTTTTTCTAAGCTTGCGAGTGGGCGGAATCCTCCAAATCCTGCAATCTGACTGATTCCGAGAGCGGGCGGTATTTTACGATCTTGCCCTCTAACCCGGGCGGAATGGTTGGCAGCTTCATTCACAAGTTTGTTTGTTGTTTGTGAATGAGCAAAAACCGTCATTTTCAAACCATTTTTCTCTTAAAACTTGTACTATTATTAGCATTAGTTGGGGAAGAGTGAATTTTATTATTCAGACAAAAAGAATCAAGCAAGTCAGCCAGAAAAACCGCTAAGGCAAAGCAAAACAGGTGGCTCACTAGCTTTATAACCGCGCTGTAACTATTGCAATCTTGCTTTTATGCTCCGTTGTTGGACATTTTTGCTCTGTTTCTAGGTTTGTTTTCCATTTTTGTTGTATGAATCTAGATTCTTCCGTTTTTCATTAAATTTTGCCTCCCTAGTTTTCTACTTATAAGAAAAGGTTGTTGTCAATGATTGCTTTTAACGTTCAATCAACAACACGAATCACTTTTCCAGCAGTCGGTTATCGCCGTTTTTATTTCTTTGTTTATAACTTGTTACTCACATCGCCTTCTTTTATTCGAATTCAATTCAAAACCTTAAAATTGGTTGTAATTAGCTATTTTTACAAAGCCTTTGTGCAGTTTTCATCCCACTCGATTGAACTAATCTTAAAGCAATTTTTGAATTATTCAGCCGAAGAAAATCCTTGCTGTATTTTTTTCCTGGGGCTTTTAATATCAAGCTCGTCAATTCTTTTATCCTTGTTTGACACTCAGATTATGAATTGTCTAGCAAGACACAAAAACCTTTCTTTATTCTAAAAGAGAGCAGTAAGTGCCATAATATAAATTACCGAGCTAAAAATCATGTTGTAATGTTTTGTTTTGGTTTGCAATCGATCGCGCGCTTCATCAACACGAACGCGTCCTACTTCAACACACATAGGTTGGAGAGTGAAGGAAAATTTTCCTGAAACTTTTAAATCTCAGTTGGGAAAAATAAAGATGTTATTCACCGGCAAAGGTCGGTCCGTATTGGGAGAAACTGTGCCCTAGGTCTGAGTATCGCCCTAGGCCTACGGCCTCGGGCGGTACTCAAGACCTCGGGCACAGTTTCTCCTAATACGAACCTCCCAGCCGGTGAATAACATATATATATATATATATATATATATATATATATATATATACGCACACTAAGCATGAATGAATCTTTAAGTTTCGAATAGAAAAACATTGTCTGATGAAACATTTTGTTTTCTTGAAAAACGCCTGGTGTCAATATTTAAATTATCGTGCTTCGAGTAACTTATTGCTTTTGTAAGCTGCTGATTGGTCCACAACCAACCTTCTTGGAATATATTGTTATTTTCCTGTAACCGGATTCGTCAACTTTGTCTAAGTGGCGCCGGTTACGGTAGTCGCAAAGCAGTATATAGGCTCTTCGCAGTTTGAAATTCACGTAGTACAAATCCGCCACGCTGGAGAACAATAGACGCAATGGGATAAGACAAACAAAGAGCACACGTCATTTAAAATGGTAACTTTCTTTGTTTGTCTTCTCCCAGAGCGTCACTTGCTCTCCAGCATGGCGGTTTTGTACCACGTGAGTGACAAGATGCAAAAGGCCTATTCGTGTGGCTTGTTCTTAATCGCTGGACGAAAATATCTGTGGCTTTCTGCCGGATTGGTTTCTTGGGATCTAACTGGAACCGGACACTCTGAAATTGCTGTAGAACTTGCAGTTTCCTGGCTTTCCGATCGTAAGGATCACCTTGGGCTTGTTTATGTGCTACCTGCGGCTCCCTGCTGATCTGCAGATTGGCATGCAGATTTTGATAGATAGGAAGTAGAAGTTGATCTTGTCGGATTGGGCTCGCGCGTAGATCAGTATTGAAAGATCAGAACCCGACTCTTCTTCCTCCATAATGCCCTTTACGACTTTAACCATGGCTTCAATGAAATCTTTCGATTAAGGATAGCTTTGGCTAAAGTATTATCATGCGGTATTAGTGGTTCCTTTTGTTGAGCAGGCTTGTATTTCAGGCATACGTCACATAATTTAACTGCATTGCTTACATAATCCGAGATCCCGGACCAAAAGACTGTCTGGTATGCTTTCAACAGAGTTTTTTCCCCTGCTAAGTAGCCCATTTGAAGATCTTTTAGATACTCTGCTCTCAGTAAGGTTGTAATCACAAGTCGATGGGCTTTGAACAACACACCATGTTCAACAGAAAGCTCCTCCCGGTAATTACAGTACGTAATATTACACTCGTCCTTAGAGTTGCTGTTTCTGAAGTGGCCAACCGTTAAAGATTTAATGTCGTAACTGGCTTAGAGCTGAATCAGCAGTGATGGTCACTCTGTTCCTGTTCAAGGCGGTTGTCTGTTGCTGGGACGGTTGAAGTGAGGTGAGTCACATCTACCTGCTTTGAGTCCATAGGCTTCGGACTGAGAAGGTTGACTCAACTTAGGGCGTGTGTCCTTCCTACAGTTGTTCTCCACTTGAAGTTCGTATCTGGCAAGCCTCAGAAGAAGGCATTGACGTCTCAGACTGGCAGTGGCAAAACTCTTCTTCCAACTCATCTCCAGAAGTTAGTGTTCTCTTTGATCTATGACTGGTTCGCCAAACACATAGTTGTGAAGCCTCCCCATGGCGAACAGCTATTCCTATCAATTCTCTCTCGATGTTGGAATACCGTTCCTCGGCGGGAGTGACGGTTATGAATGCGTAGATGACAGCAGCATGGAACCTAGGTTGCCATTGTGAATAACACCAAACTATCTGAAGCTTGCTGTAATAAAGATCGAACCCAGGCTGTCTTTCCAGACCTGGTCAACCCAGGTAACCGTGCAGGTGAAAGGATGCTCGAAGCAAAACCGCTGACATTTTTTTGAAGGCATTGCAACTGTTTGAAATGGGGTGAGACAAGCTTTGCGTTGTTTAGCCATCACATGCCTTTGTATGCTATCCTTCCTACTTAACGATTTTTCGCAAACGGAACAGAACCAACTCATGTCAACTTCTCGATCAAGAGCAGAGTGTAGACCGAGAAAAAGGTAGAATGTCGCGCATTTTTATAGGTTTACTACTCAACCTTCCCTCCTTCACCCCCACCACATTTCTATTGTTTTCTTCCTCCATCACATTGCATAGAAAGTAAAAATTAAGCAACCTTTTTGCATTTCTTTTACACGCAAACCAGCGCTGGCAACGCCAATATCCGGCTGAAGCAGGCCATACCACTTTCTTTTAACCGCCATTTCCAGGACGCTATATTCCCTGTGTAACACTTCGAGAAAAACGATTTTCGATCTCTTAAAGTGGCAAGAACGCTCTCTCTGCCAAAAAAGCTTTCATTACTTCTATCGTTTTCCTCTTTCTTTGACGACATGCCCAAGATCGATCACGTTTTTTACATTGCATTCGCTTTACATTTTTTACTAGTGAGCGACGTAGTCTGGCCAGTAGCTAACGCGTGAGCCCGGCCAGTGGCAGCCATGAAAAATTGCTGAACGCTAAAAACAGCCCTAAAAAATTTTACCTGTTACATCAATCCAGATGGAAATGTTTATTTTTCCTGCCCTGCTTTCTGCAATGCAAACATATTGTCCTGCGTCTTTGAATGTCACGTTGACGATTCTTAACGTATTCTTGTTGTTCTGGAGAGGTGCTCCGTTCTTTGTCCAGTTGACCTTTGGATGAGGGACACCATCCAAAATGCATTTCACATCAAACGCAGAGCTCAATGAAAGTGACTGATTCCTCAGTTTTGGGTTCACTTTGGGCGGAACTGAAAAATTGTTAATGTTTTTATTATACATCGAGCTTTTATGGAAACATAATAACAATTTGCATGGGGTAAGCATTTAAATGATACTGGTTAAATCGAGTCAACTTTTGGGATTGGTGTTGAGTTAACACCACCTTTATATCTGCTTGCGTAAAGGTTTCTCTCATATCCCATGTATGAGAAATTCTGAGAAATCCTTTCTTTTGCTTATCCTTACCAGAATCATAAAAACGGGGTCGGTACTAACGTCACACGTAATGTTATGTTGCTGATGTGCTTTGCCACTTTTGTGGTTTTTATAACATCAAGTAGTTAAGCACAAGTGTAAGCTATTTTAGGTCACGAGTATGCACGGTTTGCCTTGGAAATATCGGATAGGACATATCATAGTTGTAGCTCACTGAGTCGGAAGTAAATATTCAGAGTTGAGGACTGGGATTTAGTGCACCAAGCCCTCTCGGTTCTCATGGAACTATTTTTAAGAGGCTACTTTGTTTCACATCTCTAATTAACAATTATTCCACAAGTGTGCGTTGGATATAATCATCTCTTATCCATCAAGCGTGAGTGGAATAATCTTTTTTTAAAAAACGCCCACAAAATTTCCAGTTCACTTCTACACATTCAGTAAAAGCATTTATTCTCCGATAAAACATAAAAGTCATAAAATGCATCGTAAGAATTCGTGCATTTTAGGTCGGCTGCTGAGCTGTCGACAAAAAGTTGCCTCCAGCTACTATGATCTTTGACGATCGGAGAACTTAACACAATCCAATCATGAAGACAATAAGCTTCGAGAATTTTGCAAGGAGCGGGACGTTTGGTTAAATATTTGTATATCTAAAGTTACCATATTATTGTATTCTAGAAAAAAATTAGAAAATGTCTAACAAAGGGCGGGTAGTAATTAGATTTACGAACTGGGTGAGACACTTACCATCAACGGTTAGAAAGATGGCGTCAGAATAGGAGCCAGCCTTATTCTCTGCTTTACAGGTGTACCACCCCACGTCTTCAGCTTTAACCTTTGTTAAGTGCAACACCCTTTCGTTTTCAGATCGGGTTAAGTTATCCTTCGACCAGTGTATCTTCGGTGTTGAACCGTTCTTAATTGAGCAATTTAGACTTACGTTATCACCTGTTTGCACTGTACCATTTTTTGGTCCAAACACTTTTACAACAGGTGCAACTAAAGAAAATTTAAAAAGGTATAAACTTGGATTAGGCGTACATTATATAGAATTACATTTTTCTACAATTTCACTTGGGTTTCCCATAGCTCAGTGGTTGTAGCATGTCAACCCGGGTATCTTAAATTTAATGGCTTTAACTCGATTGAAAATAAATAAATAAAACAATAATTTAAATCTCCGTTTTCAGATAGCCTGAATTTCATACGTCTCCTCAAGTCGCAAATACCAGGCAAAACCGTCTGAATTAACGAGCTGCTAGTAATGCTAAACCTACTGCCGTCTCCTCGACTACGTATTCAGACAGTATAAAACACGATCTTATTTTCCCTTCTACCGGTGGTCTCTCACGGCGCGAGAAAAAAATGAGAGAGAGGAGAGAGACCTCTGCCTGCCCCCGATGTGTTCTCCATCACGCATGCACTGGCGTTTCCTTAACATCCAGCAGCGTTTTCGTCAAATGCGGTACAACTTACACATACCAACTGTGGCTTAGAAATTTTTAGCGTGCAGTCTGGAAGGTCTGTTTTCTACAGTTATTTAACGTGTGTTTTTTGCTAGCGCACTAGGCTTCAAACATGGTGATAGCCTAACTATACCAATTTTTAAAAAGACCGTTTCCTTGTCAACGGTTTATCATGCAGAATCCTCAAAGTAAACCACCAAAGTCTTCCATTAAGCCTGAAGATTTGCTTTCTAAATGATCAATATCATAACATGTCACGGGAGAAATTATATACATTTTGACTTCAAAGAACTTTATACAATTATTCAAACTTATTCCCGTTTCAAATTCTTGTTATCTTTTTATATATCTTTCACGTTCGATAACTTCCCAATGTAATGTAAAAATAAATAGCAGACAACTAACTAATCTGTAGGTTTCGCTGATTTCCAAAATTAAATGTAGACTCCTAGCCAATAAGAAGACAGATAGTGAGTACCATGTATAATAATTAACATGTTAACAGGTTTTACGGTAACTTTAGGCTTCCGCTTTTATTCTGCTCGTTACATACCTATTACAGAAACATTTATGTCTTGGTTTTCGGTGCTAGTGCTGTGTTTTTTATTCTGTTTCATGATGCATATGTAGATGCCCTCGTCTCCTGGTTTAACTGAACTGACTCGCAAACTGCCACTAGACATCTGGGTGAATCGAAGGTTATCAAACGTTTTGTTACCATCCCTTTTCCACTCAAACTGTGGGTCTGGAGTTCCTACGCCAGTGCACTTTATTTCACCAGACTTTCCACTTATAAGGGTTTGTCGAGGACGCTTATTTCTAAATTCCGCTTTCAAAGAAATACATATTTATTTCAGTTAAAATTATTATTATATCTAAAGGACTAATTTTTTTCTCGCTAGTTTGAGTGAAACCGCCCTTTATATAATTGAAATTGTAATAATTGTGCCTCTTTTAGGGACGATTATTAAATGATTAATAGAATGAAAACAAAAGGGGTTTAAAGAAAATTGTAAAACTTGAATTTTTGACCTACCCTGTCCACCACAGATCAAGACAGATCATTGAAAAACGCATCCCAAACGGGTCTATTGCACAGACACAATGACTCTTACGTAAGCAGCGTTAATATATTCCACTTTAAGTTTAACAGAGTTGATTTTATCGAAAGGACTATCCGGGACATTCTATATACTGGTGATGCTAGTAAAATGGTAGTAATGATGAGGGCGACCGTAAATCGAGGAACGGCGGAAAATAGACCCAAATACCAAAACGTGGAATATGATAAAATGATAATAATAAAGAGAACAAAACGTTTGAAGGAGAACGCGTACCGACGTGACGAGTTTTATTATCATTGTAGCTTTTCTTTTCTTTTCGTTATTTTTACGTGCCTTCTGAATTGAAGTTATGCCAAAAGCCGTAAATAGAGTCATCGATATCAAATGAAGATAAAGGAATTACCTGGTTTATTTATTTCTGATACACCCATTAATAAATGTGTTTATTTTTTTAACTGACGAGTGGTACGGTGAATGTAATCTTTAATCTTTAATCACAGTTCGCAACCATACATAACTGATACAAATGAACTAATACTAACATATACAATCGAACAAAAAATACAAAAATGGTTAACAGGACGGTAGTAGGGGGAAACAAAATTCCTATGCTAAAACATACCCTCCAAAAAAGAAAAAAAAAAATAATTAATATATAAACATATATTAAAACACTATAAATTAGACCATAAATTATAAACCTAGATGCCAAATAATAATGCATAAACTTTTATTAAAGACACTATGCCTAGTATTTTAAGGTACGTTATGAGCGAAGGTACTTAATCAGTGAAACTTTAAGAGATTGAAGGCTAGGAGATGAAATTACTTCAGAAGGTAACGAGTTCCAATCATTAATATATCTATGAAAAAATGAATATTTGAAATAATTTGTACGGGCAACTTGAGGCCTTATTTTATACTCATGCTTACTTCTAGTTCGAGTTATTCCAATAATATCAAAGTAATGATGGCAATTGATATCACAGTAACCGAATATAATCTTATACATTTGAACTAGGCTAAGATATTTCCTTCTCAGTTCTAAAGAGTCCCATTTTAACTCTAGAAGTCTTTCAGGATATTCTTTGTCGGGGCCACATATTAGTCGGGACGCTCTTCTCTGAATTGCTTCGATTGCCTTGGTGTGTTTCACCAGATATGGATTCCAGACTGGGCAGGCGTACTCGAGGATAGCTATCACTAGCGCCTTGAAAGCTGTCTTGATACCAGTCTTGTTTGAATAACCAAATGTCCTTTTAATCAAGCCCAACACCTTGTTAGCTTTAGCACAGTCTTGAATAGAACTGTTGTTGTTGACAGCGACTGATGTTTCGACAACCTGTGCGATAGTCACCTTCAGAGTCAAGGTATCACGCCAGTTTATGGTATTAAACTCCGGTTGTTGACCTGATTGGTCAATTAAGTCGCGATGTGCAGTTATTGGTCGTCTGTTAGTTAAGCCGTGATGTTAAAAATAGATCCCCTTAACCCCCCCCCGCCCTTACCCATGTCTCTAATCCACGCCTTGATTTAATCAATCAGTCAATCAATCAACTTTATTTAAACACGGTAAATGGCTCAGCAAGTTGGTTTTAACACATGCCGTGAAACAATTACAAGTTATAAAAATTAAAACTAGTGATTAACTAACAATAATGTAGCACAAGAATTTACAATTTTATCTGTTCCTATTAACTCTTATAAACGTGACTATCTAGTTCGTATGTTAAGCAAGACTAATAATACTAATAGATAGAAGCAAACTGGTCCCGCGTAAAAATAGCCTTAAAGAGAGTGTGAAAATTTGTTCAGATCGTACAAAACAGGATTGGTACTACCTATTAACTTCTACAGGACAAGAATCAAAGAACCAGTCATCATAAACAAGAATAAAAAGTAGTTCAAATTTATTAATTTTTCTCGTTTGTTTTTTTGTGTTGTTTCGTGTTGACTTCACGCGTCTGGTTCTTTCTTTGCTTGCTGTAGTACCTGTAATTTTATCCCAGATAATCAGTGCATGTTCAATGAGTAGCGAAATACATCATTTACAATTGAGATTTGCCTTGTTTCTTTGACTGATTTTTAACGGTGGATGAACATTTGGAGAATCCAACAACATTAAATCTTTCCAGATTAGTGAATTTCAGAAACGAAGCGGCCCGGGCAAAGTGGTTAGTATTGATCTTGCGCTTATGATCTTCAATTTCATCCCCGCAAATTCGGCAAAGTAAGGCGAGATGTTGGACGTGAATATCCATAAGACTAATAACGTTGTTCTGGCCTTGAAAAGAAAAAAAGGCAAAGGCTCGTACTAATGCGAAAAAAAGAAATAACACGGCTCCGTGAGAAACCCGGGAGTGGAAAACGTACGTGTTTTGGACCTCGAAATTCAAAAATTGCCTACCAAAATTCCAGGTTGTCTACCATCCCCACATTCAACATAATAAAAGTTAATCGACATGAGAATCGAGGAAAAATATCTAGAACCTCGTAAAAAATCTGTGAATCGAAAAAATAATAGATACTTGTTCACCTACGTTGAAAACCGACCAAAATCTCACCTATACGTCGCGTTGTTTAAAAGATAAAAGAAGACATAAGCCACAAAATGTGCTGAATATTTCACGAGACACTTCCAATATGGCTTCCGATACGCTGTCCACTTAAAAAAATTGTGTATGCCTCATGAAAAGTCTTAAAAATATGCCTGAGATCCTCGAAACGATGACTGATTCTGTCCGACTCCGTCCGTTGTTTTGAAAATTTTTGATCACTGGGGCGATGTTTTGATTTGTTTGTTGATAAACACAAGCGCGCCTTCTCATTGGTTGAAAAGTGTCGCGTGACCAGTTGGCCCTGTCCTTAAATTTAGGGATATTCCGGACTGTTAAGAGTCTCTTGATAGCGGAGCTCTCGCGCGCGAAGCGCGCCAGCGGAGCACTATGGGTAACAAAATTTGGTAAACTATCCATCCGAGAAAATTTGGTTATGACGTAGTCTACGAACGCCGACCGTCCGTATACCCACTACATGTAAGCCGATGTCAAGTGTCAAACTTGTCAGGAGCGAGAAATAAATAACAACGGGGACTAATTTCGTTGGAAGAAAAACATGAAAATTATATAGCGGCAGTTAGAAAATGAGAAATGCTAGCGGCTACTAATGTGAAAAAGGAGCGGCAGTGAAAAAACAGAGTGAACAGGAACACAAACATTTGCTCCATAAAACGCGTAAATGGGAAGCTAAAAGAAGTTTCACGTTTTAGTCGTGTAAAACAACGGTAAGGAAATGTACAGATAAAACTGCTGCACGTGCAGAGTTGTTTTTTGCTAATTAGAAAAAAAGAGTGCTGCACGTGCAAAGTTGTTTTTTTTGCTAATTAGGTCTATTGTTGTTCTTTTTACCGTTCTCATTGCTTTCAACATGTCTTTAGTATTACTCGAGTTTCCAGATTACTCGATTTTCCAGGTACGCGCTTGCGCGCGTGTCGTGCGTGCACATCGGCTCTTGGCGTTCAAGTATCAAGTATCTACGTCCCTGGCTACTCAGTCAAAAGTTGAGTATTGGCCGCTTTATCACTTCGTCAAACTGAGATCAAAAAAGCCATTTTTGACATTTTCTAAAACGAGCAGCCTGAGTTGCGACCACTATACTTAAAGGAGTTTCTAAGGAGGTCGCCTACGATAACTTTGACTAGGAGGATATTTTCACTTTTCTTTTTCTCACGGCATTTAAAGCTCACCTTTCTGGGGGAAAATTGCTCGACAAATGGCTGTGGGAAAGGGACATAGTCATGCTTGGAATTAACAGAGTCACAAGTCAACGAACTGGGGAACCACTACTTGATTCTGAACGTGGCTTGTTACCACAACAATATTTTCAATAAGAGCAAAATCGATGTCTCGTTTTTCATATAAACTTTTTTTGCTCTTTTTTCTTTGGTTTTTAGTGTTCCGCGTTTTAGGGTGTGGATCTATCTTCCGCCGTTCCTCATTTCAGAATTTTAGTTCATTTTCCGCTATTCCACCGTTCCTCAATTTAGGGTAGTTCTAATGGTGATGACAGATAATAATTGGAAACGATAACGCTGGCACTGTTGACACTGACAACTAAAAAGGTAATTTTATAATGAAAAAGCTACCTACCAATCACATATATGGTGAAGAGCTTTGTGTACTTTAATCCACGGCACTCATAGGTACCTCCATCAGACACTTTGATATCATTTATTGTTAATGTATCACCGGAAGTCTTAATTTGGCGACCAGACGTGGAAGCAACTTTGCCGTCGATGTACCATCGGATGTGAGTGTCGTTTTTCAAGGAACATGGTAATGTTTCGCTGCTACCAATTTTCAAATAATAAGGAGTCCGATCTAACACATCCAAATTTTCTGTTCATGAAAAAGTCTTAAATCAGTTTAGAACATAATTAATCAAAAGGTGCCAATGGAAAAAAATGAAATAGAAATGAAAGGTGATATTGAACTCTCAATTGGTCGAAACATGGGCCAAGGCCAAGGCGTTGTTTGATAGCTTTTTCTAGAGATAGCCTAGCAGAGGCTCAAAGATAGTAACGCACTGAGAGAAAGCTGGAGGGGGAGAATGCTCTTTTCTTCTTTCTCCACCACGCCCCCTTTTCTAGATCAAGCCTGACCTTGTTTTCGCAACGCCGGTCCTTACTATCTGAGAGCCTGAACGGGGTGATACCGTGATGTTACTTGGACCCTCTGACAGTAGGCCCCCTTGAAGGGCATCATTGTTTACTCACTTTAGTGACCCGGTTTTATCTAAGAGTGGACATAAAACCAAAAAAACATGTTCTCAAATGGTGCCAAACACTATTGTTTGACCGCTGTTGTTTTTGCAAGTTGTTGCTTTGTTTGCTTTTTTAAAGCCTAATTCAGTACAATACAATATACAATGTTAGCAAACAAAGAGAGACATACCAAAATAAGAGGTACAAGACAAGATACAATTGGTACACAGGATATTGCAATTACTAATCTGAGTTAGAAAAAAAAAAACAACCCAATGACAAAAAACAACTGAGCATGTCAAACGTGTTTGCGGCTTAAGAATGCACAGACGGTTGAAAGCTCTATAGAAAATTCATATTTCAGAAAAGCTTTAAAGGCTAAGAAACTATATGGTCCACTTTCTTTGGCTGCGGTGAAGAGATAAAAAGGAGCGATTATCAGGCAAGATTAAACGTATGGAAGGAATGTTTCTCAGGGAGATACCGGTAAATTTTATCGTCATTGGTCAAAGGTCGAGTTATTGTCGTTCCACCTAGAGGTAAAAAGGTTCCCGAAGGAGTGGACATGCAGGCACTCTACAAACAGATGCCTTAGGGTCTGCTTCGATTTACACACATGACAAGTGTCACTTTCAGCAAGTTTGGCCTTGAAAAGTTTGTCGTGAGTGTACAGGATGTGATGGTTTATTTTAAATTAAAACATAGAAAGCTTTATGTTTTTTGTAACTTTGAATGGAAGAAGGTATAACGCCGCAATTGTCTGATGTGTGAATCCAGTGTCAATAAGACGAACTTCTGATGTAGGTTTTTGGAAAGACTTAGATACATAAGACGCGTGTGCTTGCCAGCAAGTGGGGGGCAAGTTCTTAAATGGCTGAACTGACTTATGTTTGGTAACTACAAAGTCATTTTCGTTACCAAGACTAAAGGCTTTCCTCCAGTGCCTTGGGATTACATTACACAAGCCAATATAGCACAGAAAGTTTCTGTTAATTATGTACTTTGTCTTGAATTCTGTAAACGTCAAGAACTTTCGTTCCTTAGCTTGTCTAGGATGTCTGGCAAGGTCTTTATGCTAGCATCATACCATTGCTTATAAAAAAAAAAACAGATTTGCCACCGATAGTGACCTCATGATTATTCCACAGGATCTCTTTTTTGAGTCCTTTCTTTGTACTTGCTGTGTGCTTGTGATATACTCTCCCAAGCACTGAGAACATTTCAGTAGAAGAGCTGCAGGAGAGGGAGCTCAGGTAAAGTTCTTAACGAAAAATCACATTTAAACAACAACGGGCCACCTACACTGTCTAAAAGGCTAAACGGTATTGTCTTCCAGGATTGCAACTGAGGGTCTAAGAGAAGTTTCACCCACCCTGCTTTTAAAGATTTACCTATTTTATCGAAATCAGGCATGCTGAGTCCGCCATCTTTTATCCTTTTAATCATTGTCGAGCGCTTGATTTTGGGTGGTTTGTGGTTCCATATGAAGTTGGATAGAGATTTGTTCACTTCATCAACAAAACCAGTGGGAACACTGAGAACAGAATTTTTGAAAGAGCTTTTGATAATGCTTATTTTTCTATAGAGCGTTAAATCTCTAGAAGACCAGACGTTAAGACACTTTTTCCAGAGCGACTAACTTTTTTTCAAAGTTATCCTTTGTGGAAGCCTCCGAATCACCTGAAAAAGAAAACGCCTAGACAAACGCACCTCTTAGGCCGGTTTGTCGGTTCCGGTCCAGTTTTTCCCAACCACAATGCCTCCAATTTTCTCGCATTTTGATTAGCTCCTGTAACTTGGAATATCCTTGGCTATTCACCGTTTTGCGACCGGAGCCAAGATGGCGTCTCGTTTCGAGACATTTTCGAAAGATGAAATTTGAGCGTTAAATCAAGCAGTCGTATAAACAACAACCAAGAAAGCGACGACCTTTGGCTTGTCAGTGGTAACTGGTAGGTAGAATTTGCAACAAAATCGTAAAAATACACTTGACGAAGTGTCCGAAATGTTTGTAAATTGTTAACAAGTTCCTACTAAGTGACGTTTTTAATTTACAAAAACTTGCTTTTTTCATTTTTATCTAACCGATTTGGTAAATAGTAAAACAACTATCCCCCTCAGAGTCGGTTCATAGCGCTAGATATAGACCGAAACGCGACCTCCCCTTCAGGATATAGTTGTATATTATATTACATTCAAAGCCGCTGTTAGTTAGGTTAGGCTAACTTCTCATGAAAAAGGATCGGTTTTTGAAACGTACCTATAGAGGCAAGTCCTATCCTAAGTTTTTTAATCTATCGTTGTCTATATCTTCGTCAAATCTCGAGTGCATTTCTGTTGCATTTTTGCTAAACTACAGCCTCCCTAAACACTTGATTAAGGATTGCAACACGCCATTAACTCCAATTAAAGAGCCGTAAGTATGTTATATGTTATATATGTTTACCAGAATTTTTGAAAACATGCCGAAAAAGGCCTAGAATATTCTCACAGAAACCTGGCGATGGCTTTGCTAATAAGGAGTCGAGAAGAGAGTCACCTTAGAAGGCGTATGGGTGAGAGGTGAATTTCTTTACAATATAGGCATTGGCCCTTTTATTTTTTGTAAGTTAAGTTGTCTGGCCTAGACTTCCCAGCTGGTGTGGTTTTCATAATTTCTTCTAGAAGATGATAGTCAATGATGACGGGTGAGGAGAAATTATCCAAGGCGGGGCCCGGACAAGGCAAATTTGGCTCAAGGTGAGCCAGCTCCTTCTTAAAGAAGGCAACATCTAGACGAATTTATGAAAGGCCCAGAATTCGGGAGTATAAAAATTAATGTTCGTTACTATTATTCTAACATTCAGTACATTGCACTGAACTGTATTGACTCGTGAGCGATAAACTTACTTGGTTCACACAATGCTTGAGCCCCCTTGTAATATGGACAATAATTCTCACCATCAGTTCGTTTGCAGGATGACAGATTCAATTCCTTTCCACTACAGAACACCTCTGTCATTAAATAGGGTAGCTTTTCGTCCTTGCCCTCCGATGTAATGAATTCCGCTACTGCACCTTTAAAACCTAGTTGAGTGCAAACCACTTTCACATCGTTAAAATCCCATCCTTTTCGACAGATCTTACCCCACTTTCCTCGATAAAAGACTTCTACTCTTCCTCCGTAAGTCAAGTTTGCTCCATTTAAGCGTACAGGAACTAAATGCATAAATTAACAGTACAATCGTTAGATAAGAAATTGATAGATGGGTTACCACTTGGATAAGACACATAATCAGATTAGCAGTAACAAAACTGTACAATATTTAGCAGGAGGGCGTGGCTAAAAAAGGAACAAAATCCCATAATTTCTATTAACTATTCCAGAACCTTATGACGACTGAAGTAATTTTTTTTAACCAGGGTTGAAAGTAAAATCCCACACAGACGCGCGAGCAAAAATAGATTGATTGAATGGTGTTTGCTGTTAGGAAATTTGCAATTTTGTAAAAGGACCTGACTCGATTACGAATCATTTAAATGATTGAACATCCTAATTGTGGCAGTTAGGAAACAAGACCACTCAGGATCGTGAGGCTTCTCTTTACTTTTCATCACACACGCAAAGTCCGAAAGAGGCTGTTACTGCTAAGGCTTTCCTTAAAAAAAAAATTGGAGAGAGTAAAATACTTTGAAGCAGATATTAACAATGTGAGTAAACTCCTTATCAGCTACCTGTGCATGACTGGAGATCCTGTTTGCTGTTATTATTGCAATTGAAAAGCAACGATGTACAGTTTCGACGAATGGTCTTGTTTGAGTGACTCTTGCTTTCTGGCTGAGTGTTGTTGTCAGTAGGACCATTATATCCCATTGCTCTACAGGTTAAATCCTTTTCTTTTTCATCCCAACTTGGGGTGCAAAGTCTCTTCCAGGTGTTGTTGAGTTTAAATTCCATGATACCAAGAGATGGTATCTCATTTGTCTTAAAGCGTACTGGAAAGCCTGTTTTCAAAAGTTTCATATGATATCCGGTTTTAGCACTATAGCCGCTAATCCTGGGAGTTCCTTCTATTTCGATTTAAGTTAAAGAATCGCCGGGAAACCCTATCTATTTTATTTTTTATTTATTTGTTTTACCACAAGCCTTAAGTATTCAAGCACAAATTTAACGGAGATGGGATTTTTACCCGCCAAAATCAGACAGCACGAAATTTAAAATCGTGAAATTGTGCTACACACTGAATTATTTCACGGGGGGATAGGAGCTGACTATACCCATCCTTTTACCCAATAAGCACAAGCGGAATGATCTTTTTCACTATCCTTGTTTTCGTTAAATTTCAGCCAATACCACAAAAAAGTTTTTAACTATGTACCCCAGATTAAGAGCGACGGTCAGCAAAAATCGACCAAACTCTTAATTTCGTGGCAAGAGTTGAAAAATGAATTTCGTTCATAGAAAGCCTTTAGGTAGATAAGAAACCCTATTGTAGATTGTTTCCTCCAAAAACCTTTTATTTGTAAGAAAAACTAGAAGATCGGGTTTCGATGCCGGAGTCCCAGACTATCAACTTTCCTCGCGTTCACAAACGAAGCCGTATGGAGAAATTTGGACACTTTCCACGAACAGAAAAATTCTTTTTCTTCCACTAGAAGATACTTTCAGGGCAATAGCGAAGCTCGTCGTACTGAAATAATTCAAAAATAAGGGATAGGTTTTCAGGATAACAAAAACTTAAGTTCGTTACTCATTATCGACGGCAATATTTAACATGTGGTATAACTCCAAATTCTCTTCATGCTATTTAAATCACACATTTAGACATTCATTAAAACATACCTGGGAATTGGCTTGGGTTATTGAAGGAAATCTCTGTAAGACACCATCGAAGTTCAGGAATTTTCATGGCAGGCCGATGGTAGTTGTGTAAACACTTCCAATTTCGAAATTCACAAAAGTAGAAATTAAACTTACAGCCTAAAGGCTCGTTTTTCGTAGATCTTGTAGGTTTTCCCATTGCAAAGTTGCTTATTTCAATCAAAGAGTGGAGTAACAAGGTGAAACTGGGTCAATTTTAGCCATTTTGAAACACTGAACTCTACCAGACGGCGGCTACTCCGCGTGACAATCTCTTCCGTGACAGCACCTGACATAACGTACTTTGAAGAGATGGTGCCGTCAAAATAACATTAGCGAGGTTAAGATCGGGTACCAATACCGATACCAGTACCAATATCTTCCACAGCCGTAGTCGTTTCCGTCGTGCGTAAATGAAGTTGTAAGTTGTTGAAGACGGATACCGGTAAAACATGGCGTTCGCGGACATCTCGTTAGAAGAAGCTCTAGTCCTTGAAGCTTATGAAGAAGACATTTTAGATGCAGAAGAAACTCTGCTGGCGTTTGAATTGCTGGATAAATCAAAAGAACCATAATCCTGTACAAGACAAGATTTTTAACACCTCGTGTTTTGAACGTCAATTCTGGCAAGCACGTTTATTAACATATTACACATACAATGCGTATTTGTTTAAATCAAATCTAATCCATAATGCGATTTTTATTCAACTTACCATGTGCTGTCTCTCTCAAAACTTGTTTCGCTTGACATTTCTGAACACAAAAATCAAACAGAACTTGAACCAACAAACGATCTACATTGTCGTGGTAAAATGAACTCGCTCTTATCGATTCAGAAGCGTTATATCGATTAAAATGTTTGAAGAATAAATGCATGCTGTGTTTTTAAACAAAACGGCATTCCATCTAACCTTTAGCAAGAAGACCTGAAGTCGGGGATGAAGACTTCCAATATGGAGGCGACTTCCGTAGTCTTGACTACCGATACAGATGTCACAGGCTGACGACGCATGCGTGTAACCTACTTCAGGTATTGGTATCGGTATTGGTACCCGATCTTAACCTCTCTATTCACGAAATCACGGTAGTAACGCAACGCAATTCTTGAAAGAGGAACATTTTCGGTGCCGACAGTATTTTGAAGAAGAAAAATATCAAACGCGCTAGTAATCTGGTACTCACCTTTTATCGAAAAATAAGGACTTTAACAATGGTAATTCGCTAAGGATGACGGAACAGGAAGATATTTCGTCTTGTTACTTTACGATCGAGGAAACTTGGAGCCGTTAAATAACTTGTTTTGGTCACGCTTCACTATATTTACCCGACTTCGATGCTTTCGTTTGGAGGCTGCTTTTAGGAACCTAAGCCAATTCTCAGGTATGTTTTAGATGAATGTCTAAGTGTGTGAATAAACCAGGACTGGGAAAATTTTGAGCTATGCCACATGGAGAATAATGTCGCAGAAAACAACTACTAAATTAAAGTTTTTGTCACCGTAAAAACCTGTTCTTCGTTTTTGAATTACGTCAGTTCAACGAGTCTCGATATTGCTTTGAAAGTACCTTCTATTGAAAGAAGAAGAGTTGTTCTATTGATGGAAAGTGTCCAAATTTCTCCTTGCGCCTTTATTTGCGAACGCGAGGAGAGTTGATGTTAGCAAATTTCGGGTTAAAAATACGGCCATTTTGAGACTCCGACCACGAAAACTGATATTTTAACTTTTCTTGAAAATAAAAGGCTTTTTGGGAGAACGACTTACATCAGATAACTTATCTACCTAATAGCTATTTATGGACAAAAAATGAAGGAAATCGATTTTTCAACACTTGCCACTCGATGGTCGCTATTTCCTGACCGTCGCTCTTAATACATGTCATTTGGATGATGAAAAAAAAAAAAAAAGAACAAAGTTAAGAAAAACATTTCATATCTTGGGTAATTAATTGACGAAAACTTAACTCGGAAAAACCACACTTGCTCTCTCACAACGAAAATAAGTAACACTGTTGGTCTAATTGTGAAGTTAAATCAAGGCATATTGTTCCAACTGGAACAATATGCGCAATTTGGCTAATACCACCCAAACAACCCTTTAGGTGATATATTTCAAGAAATGATATTAAGAAATCCCCAAGCGCTTTACATTTTGAGAAATTTGGAAAAGTTCGAAAATTCGAGAAAAATACATTTTTTTATTCGCGAATTGCTGCAAATGTCAACAATCTTCAAGGAAGCAATACGAGCGCGCAAAAGCTCCTATTGACTCCTGTATTGATTTGATGTCGCACATGCATTTACCAGTTACCCAAAGCTTTAAGACTGCATAAAAACATGTAAAAATGCTTTCATTGCTTGCACCTTGATTTTGTGCTGTTTTAGCGGTCGAAATAACACTCAGCTTTAACCGCAAAAATTCGATTCTGGTATGTCTCAAATATAAAATATGATTATACTACATGAAAGAACTGTGATTCTTTTAACTATATCTGAAGTTTCAGCTCTGAGAATTTAAACACTTGCAAAAAATAAAATTTTAAATATAGCGACGCGGGACACCATAAGCGACAAGAACGTGAAATGTAAACAAAGCGAAAACCGTGTAAACAAAGAAGAAAATCACACCAAAGTTATTTCTAGCCCACCGAAGCGTAAAGAAATGATGGGAATTTCGGCATCTGAATAGGTATTACTATCGGAAAAGCTAAAATGGCGAAATTGCCCTGAAAAACGAGAGACTGAGAATCGCGTCGGGTGACCATTTAATTCTGAACTCGAAAGTAAAAATGCTTCCAGATGGTCAAGTCCAAAAAGCTTCAAGAACTGTTTGCCCCAATAAACTATCGACAAACTATGCCAGATGATAGATTTACTTTAGCAAAAGTGAACATAACAAGGAGTCAGAATTACAAATGACACTTCTACCAAATGAGTTTTACACGCAAGTGCTGGATTTTTACAAAGTTACCTTTCAGTGTCCATTTTATTTCTCGTGATGCAGGGCTCTGCAGCTCACCTTCATAACATGACTTAAAAACTAGCAAACAACTGAAATTTCAATATTCCGCGGATTTGTAAAAAGGTTGCGGCCTACCGGTTGGTTCCTAAAAGAGAACTGCAACTTGGTGTTACGTGTATGGTAATTTGAATAAATTACCCTGGAGCCCCTTCACGCAATCTTCCACTGGGTACACGTGACACATGTTATCATCTTTAGCCCTGAAGGTGTTGAGTAGTTTTTCCACTCTTGTTGATGGAATTTTTTACATTCGGTGTTAGTGGGCAATATCCATGTCAATCCGAATTTATCCCTCCTTTTTAATTGCGATCGAGGCGTCTGAATGTCCTCGAAGTACATGACATAACCGTATCAATGAAGATCCATCGTTGGACAAAAAAAAAATAACTATTATTATCTCGCTCTGGAAAATGACAATTGGTTAATTTTTAGTTTGTTTTAGTTTCATTGAATAAGGAGATCGCTAGTTTTTAACGGGGAAACAGCTGGTTGTACCTTGAGAGAAACTAGGGAGGGGCTTGGCACGTGGCCCAGAGCGCACACGCACTCGGGAAGTGCGCTGAAGAAGTATATACATGTATACAATTAACCGTAAATGACATAATAAACACCCGCACTGACCCGGGGCGTCTTCTAACTTTATGGGTCCAAGCGGGGGCGTTTAATAGATAGGAGGCGTTTAAAAGGCAGAGGTTCTTATTGTTATAACTGTATGTACCTCTCAACAAAACGTATTTCGGCATAAAATATCAAGAGTTTAAAAATTGCGGAATATCCACTCCATCAGTTGATACGTCTACGCCGTCTAGAGATTCAGAATCCTCCCTCAGGGTTATTGTGTTTCCATCGTTGGTCTATTAACAAGATGAAAATAAAAATACTCAAACCCCCAGTCAATCAAGCAAGAAACTGAATGAATTGAATGATTTTCTCCCTTTTTTGCTAATTCCTAGTGGTTTGGTGTAGTTCTCATAGGGGGCGTTTATTAGACAGGGGGAGTTTGTCAAAGAGCTGACACTATGAAACTGAGATTTGTGAAAATCCCATGAAAATCAATTGAAAATACCATGAACATCATTTCATGGCCAATGAATCTTGCAAAATAATTTTTCATGACCTCATCTGTGGCCATTAAATTTTCGTGGAAAAAAAAGTTAAAGGTGTTTCATGGCCCATGAATTCAATTGGACTACTT